GTGTGTATGTATGTGTATGTGTGTATATATATATATATATATATATACACACACATACATACATACATACATACATACAGTGGTGTGAAAAAGTGTTTGCCCCCTTCCTGATTTCTTGTTCTTTTGCATGTTTGTCACACTTCAATGTTTCAGATCACCAAACAAATTTAAATATTAGACAAAGATAACACAAGTAAACACTAAATGCAGTTTATAAATAAAGATCTTTATTATTAAGGGAAAAAGAAATCCAAACCTACAGGGCCCTTTGTGAAAAAGTGATTGCCCCCCCCCGTTAAAACATAAATTAACTGTAGTTTATCACAAATTTGGAAAGCTGAGTTCGATTTCCCTAGCCACACCCAGGCCTGATTACTGTCACACCTGTTCTCAATCAAGAAATCACTCAAATAGGACCTGCCTGACAAAGTGAAGTAGACCAAAAGATCCTGAAAAGCTAGACATCATGCTGTGATCCAAAGAAATTCAGGAACAAATGAGAAACAAAGTAATTGAGATCTATCAGTCTGGAAAAGGTTATAAAGCCATTCCTAAGGTTTTGGGACTCCAGCGAACCACAGTGAGAGGCATTATCCACAAATGGGGAAAACATGGAAAAATGGTGAACCTTCCCAGGAGTGGCCGGCCAACCAAAATTGCCCCAAGAGCGCAGCGACAACTCATCCAAGAGGTCACAAAAGACCCAACAACAACATTCAAAGAACTGCAGGCCTCACTTTCCTCAGTTAAGGTCAGTGTTCATGACTCCACCATAAGAAGGAGACTGGGCAAAAATGGCCTGCATGGCAGAGTTCCAAGATGAAAACCACTGCTGAGCAAAAAGAACATAAGGGCTCGTCTCATCTTGATGATCCCCAAGACTTTCGGGAAAACACTCTGTGGACTGACGAGACAAAAGTTGAACTTTTTGGAAGGTGTGTGTCCCATTACATCTGGCGTAGAAGTAACACAGCATTTCAGAAAAGGAACATCATACCAACAGTAAAATATGGTGGTGGTAGTGTGATGGTCTGGGGCTGTTTTGCTGCTTCAGGACCTGGGAGACTTGCTGTGGTGAACGGAACCATGAATTCTGCTGTCTGCCAAAAAATCCTGAAGGAGAATGTCCAGCCATCTGTTCATGACCTCAAGCTGAAGCGCACTTGGGTTCTGCAGCAGGACAATGACCCAGAACACACCAGCAAGTCCACCTCTGAATGGCTTAAGAAAAACAAAATTAAGACTTTGGAGTGGCCTAGTCAAAGTCCTGACCTGAATCCGATTGAGATGCTGTGGCATGACCTTAAAAAGGCGGTTCGTTCTCGGAAACCCTGCAATGTGGCTGAATTACAACAATTCTGCAAAGATGAGTGGGCCAGAATTCCTCCACAGCGCTGTAAAAGACTCATTGCCAGTTATCGTAAACGCTTGATTGAAGTTGTTGCTGCTAAGGGTGGCCCAACCAGTTTTAGGGGGCAATCACTTTTTCACACAGGGCCCTGTAGGTTTGCTGTTTACTTTTTGTGTTTACTTGTGTTATCTTTGTCTAATATTTAAGTGTACAGTTTAAGCCCTGTTCTTCATATATATATATATATATATATATATATATATATATATATATATATATATATATATATATATATATTCTGTATGGCCATTGAAGCTAAAAGAGCAAAGACTAACAATTCAAGTGTGGGCACACTTCAAATTATGTGCAGGTTTGATAATTCATTTAACATATGTAAGGATAGTTATAAATGAATATACTTAGAGGTGAGTGATATGGCAAAGATGACCATTGATAGGTTAGAACAGACAAAGTAGTACCATGTTTAAAAGCTGCATCAAAAACTATGAATACTGTGATTTATATTCTACATTTCATATACTGAACTGCACTAAATCCAGTTAAAGAGAACCGGTTATGCTGTCTTTGTAATATATGGTCAGTATTTCCATCCTAACTACAGTTTGTTGCTTGAAGTTCAGTTCAAATATGGTTTTGTTTTATTGAGATTTTCTTCAGCTCAACAACCTTTCTGTGAAATATTACATTTTGCCTAACTTTTGACTTTGGTAGTTTTTGTAAATTTCTCTTTTTCTCTTCTCCTGTGGTCACACCATGTAAAAGTGCTTTAGCAGCAATTATGCAAATCATGCATAAAATCAGAAACCTGGTGCTTTTAAAATTAAAAATTACTGTCAAAATTGCTATTCCTTTTGGTTGGAGGGATGTCATTGTTTCAAATGCTCATTTCTGAGTGGTCAGATTAGCCATTATTCTTGTGGACATTTTTTGTAAGTGGAGTAGTTTGTTCGTTTTGATTGTTCTTTTTTCCATGAAAAATGTATTGATAAATAAATGAATGAAAAAATATTTCTTTGCGTCTTCCTTCAAACATTTGTTGGATATGTTCTTCATAATAATATCTTGGATTTCTATTCTCCTTCAATGTGGTGCTAAGACCAGTGCCAATTAGCATTGAAGCGAGAGTGAATTCACAAGTATTTTTGTTCTGTATTACCAATAGCTGGTCATCTGTAAAACTGGGCTATACAACCAACAGTAGCTCATGTCTTTGAGAAACTAAGCTAAAAAAAGTGATTATTTAAGCCACAGTGATCACAGGCCCTCATGGGATTTTTTTTTCTCTTGAATAACACTGTCTAGAGTGGGCATGTGAGTGCTGACGGTGAGCTAAAGAGGCTAATAATAATGTCAATTCTGAAGATTATACTAATGGAGCTATAAAATTGAATCCTCTTTACTAGACAGCATTTCATGCCTGATTACTTAGTAGCTTATCAATTATTTGGTGGCTGGTCAGTAGGAATCGTTTCCTGCCTTGATATTATAAATGTCTTTGTTTCATCTAATGATTATTACTGGCTTGAAAATGATCAAGAAAATGCCTGTTTCTACATCTTTTTTAACTACTGGGCATGCAGGCAAACACCCTGGGCACTTAGAAGAGAATGTTAACTGCTTCACTGTGCTGGGCTACTCTGCATATCCTTGCGATGGGAACAAAAAATGATGGGATCAGAAGGACTCTCCCGTTCCAAATGAAAATGGTTCCGAGACCCTTGTGCTTGTGTAGTAAAAGTGTTAGTTAAGTAAACAGACTTTATATTTGGTTATCAAATAAAAATACTTATTGTACTGTGAGTATTCTTTTCTAACTGAGGCAGGGTGGAACCATACCAACAAAAGTGTTGTGTAGGCTTGTGCTGGTAACAGAATCCTCTTATTTGGATAACCATAGGGCTGGGCAATATGACAATATTTATTGTTATTATAATAAATTGCATCACAATATGTCACCGTATGCTATTCTGAATATGTCATGGATATTTTCTGTCCTTTAAACACTTCCCACTGCATGTTTGATTACAAACATGAGCACAGTTTTGTTTTCTTGGATTTAGTGCATCGCAGTGTGTGAAATGTGGTATATAAATCACTGTATTCATAATGTTTGTTGGTATTTCTAAATGTGGCACTACTTTGTCTTTTCCAATTTATTAGATGTCAGAAAAAAAATATATATTGTGAAATATACCATTATGAAGTATTGAAGTATTGCAATATTACATTTTTGCCATTCCGCCCACCTCTAGATAACCATGTGGAAAAACACAGTGAATGGTCATACCTGGTTAAACCTGTTTTTTGGTTTTCCCTTGTCTTACTTTTTATTTGACAAAGGTTAAGCTTCATCTCACATACTATTATGGTGTTTTGCTCCTGCATCCACTTCAGAGTTATAAAAGAATTATAATAATCTCTGTAAACTTAAAGTGTAATTGCTGATGCTTCCAGGAACATCACTGAGGTGTCCACAAGTATCAGCACATGTAAATACAGAGATGCCCTACTACTGCCAATACTACTACTACTACTACTAATAATCATAAAAATAATAAACTTTTTGCAAACAGGGTTGTAAGATAATGGAAATAAAAGAATAATATCACAGTTAAGTTAAAGTGTTGGTTGATATATATTGTCATCTTTAATTTGCCAAGGAAAGTGTAATTAATCTCAAAACCTGGCACTGTAGTCTAAGGATATGTACACGGTGGCATGGAAGAAGTTTGGTTCTGCCACTGAGTTGGGCTGATTGTCTGTGCTTACAGGCCTGTGGTCCGTGTGGTTAGGGAAAATGGGAATTTTTTTTCTTTCTCAATCGAAAAGTGGTTCGGAATCTCCCCAGCTCTGTGAAAAGTGCCGTCCATCTTGCTGCCAAAGAAACATTAATGGATTTCTCAGTTGATCACATTAAAGCATTACCTTCAAGCTTTTGTGGCACGTATGTGGCTTAATAGCCTGTATCAGAATGTACCAGTGAACAGACATTTCCATCAGTCTGAGTCTGAGGAAAGCCAATAGATTTGTTTTGTTTTTTCTTTACCTTTTACCAGTTACAGTTCGTTTAGCACAAACCTACCCAGTCACATCCTAGTGTACTTTTCTGTTGTTTGTTCATCAATAGGTAATTGTTCATTTTTATGAAATGAAGACTTAGCTTGCTGAAGGGATCAGAGAAATTTTTCTTCTAGAAGTAACACTGGAGAACAAGTCAAGCTTTCTGGTGCATTGTGCTTTATTGACTGGATTTTTTTTTATATATTTTTTGTGAATCTTAGTGTATTTTGATGCTACACTCCTGATGTTTGTGAATTATATTAGTGCTCTTAATCAGCCAATGTGCTATTTGTCATTTTGTTTTGTTGACTGGGATTTTTGGCAGCGTGTATCTGTTCACTCTGCAGGTGTGTGTAAATGTCTGGTGACAGAATGTACTGACCCACAAATAGAGCAGTAAGATTTCCCTGTAGTAAAGAAAAATAAAGGGAATCCCATTTTCTTGTTGTGTCGCATGTCTTGTTTAAGACTCTAAATGTACATCATTTATCTCACCCAATCTCCATTGCTCTGTTCTTCCACATTTTCTTGTATTCCTCATCTTTCTGTATATCTGTCACTCCTGCAGACAGAAAATCTGGACGGAGCCTTCCCGGTGCCAGACATCAAGCTCCATAGTAATCCCTCTGCTTTCAATGTCTACTGTAATGTACGGCACTGTGTGCTGGATTGGCAGCAGAAGGAGGCCTCCCTGGCCTTGGCCTCTCGGAACTCTGTGCAGAGTGGTGACTCGGACAGTGAGGAGGAGGAGGAGTGCCGGGAACCTGCTGTCAAACTGCCCAAGGTTAGTAGGATACACCAGTGCACTATGGCTGACTCTTCTCTTGATCCATGGCATTGAAGCAACCTCTGCAAATGCTAAACGTCAAATTACAAGCATCAGAGTTCTCTCACGCAGCCAAGTCCTTTATTAGGACCTGAATTGTCTGATCATGTACAGCACCAGTCAGTTCAGAAACTGTCATCAGGGCAGGGGTGGTATTTGTTATTTCCATCTGTGTTACTTCATAGTTTGGATAGTTTCACTATTATTCTGAACTGTGAAAAATAGTGAAAATGAAACCCCACTATTTGTAGGTGTGTCCAAACGTTTGATATTTTTTTGACTGTGTTTCTGTAGAAATGTGAGAGGACTGGATCCCTGTTTCTGTTTGTATTCTTCTGAGATTAACATTGATGAACTGATGATGGAACTCAGTTTAAAAAGTTTTGTTAGAATAAGCAAATTTTGAGGACGTTAGGTAGCAGTGACGATGGCAAGCTAGTAAGAAGTGCTTACGCTATGAGGAGATTCTTGGTTTGACTGTGGGTCTAGTACATGTACATGTGGAGTTCTGTGAGAAGCTGTGCTTTTGAACTCATCAGGTTAGCACTGTCTCCTTTAGACGGGTCTTGTAATTAAATCTACACTATCAGAAGCTTTTAGCAGTGCTTGAAAGGATTAAAGGCCGAGCCTCTCAGCTCATCAGGAGGCCCGGCATTGTGACTTTTTGGAAGCAGAGCACGTAAAGAACTCGGTTCTTTTCGCAAGGAAGACCAAAGGCGAATGCTGCCTTGTAAGACCATAAATTGATGCAGATTTCAGTTAACATCATGCCTGTCCGAAGAGGGGTATTATATAATTTTAGTCACAACATCAAAGAGCACATGTGCAATCTACAACCTAGGAGCATGAAGAAAAACCTTAAATAAATTGAGCTCTAATAAATATAATATGATGACTCTGATGCAGTATTTCTGAAGTTTTTGTAGGGGTAACACATACGTTGTGTAATCATTTTCCTACTAGTCTGTTGTGTGCTGAAAGAGAATTAATTTTAACTTCTTATCATTCAACATCATATACTCCACAGCTTGAAGGAGGTGTTTTAAAGCTCTTTGTGGCCATAAAACCCTTTGCAAACGTGGGACAATTACCATGATATGATGTTAAAGTGAGCAAGACACACCAGGTAGTGTAATTTGGTTTTGGGTTAGCAAACTGTTGCTACAATTGCTACTGTGAAGCTAACTAATTGGGATTAGCTATCACAAATATTAGCGAATCAGAGAAAGCAGTACTGACCTATTGGTTCTGTGAAACAGCAAAAAAGGAGTTAATGTTACCCGTTTGTCAAGCAGAAATTGCTCTCTGCAGCAATCTGCAGGGCTTTGCTACTGGCGATGGCAGAATGTTCTGCTGCGGCTCCATTGAAAACAATGGAGTGTCCAGTTTGACATTGTCCATCTACTGCAATTGTGTGAATGCGGCATAAGAACCAGAATCAAATAGTCTCAAGGACACTGCACATCTGCCATATTGGATCGTATAATTTGTCAAATAATTTTTTGTGTCCAGTTCTTTCAAATTTGATTTTTACTAGTTCAAATCCAAGTCAAACTTCTCAACCATCTCTCCTTCCTGACCGTGTGTGGAGTTCAGCACATAGCATGTGCCAAATATACAGTCTTGTGGCAGATACGGTCATGTTGACATTTGTAAGCAATATGACCAATTAATCTTTTAGTGGTGGAGTTTAGTTGAGCAAAACAGCTGCATTACTTAAGAGCTGCTGACAATTCTCAGAAATACTTAATATCTGATCCTGTAAAATGCAAATGACTGTCTAAACATCCGGTTGCCCTATTGAGTTCGGCTTTTGCGTATAGCACCTCTGGAAGTCTTTAATGGGATTTCAAGACAGGACTTAGTATCTTGAAAAACAAGGCCATCACTGGCCAATCAGACTTGAGTAATCAATTAGTCATCAGATAAAATATTGACTAGCATACCTACATTCTCTTAGCCTAAATGGTTTGTAATTTATTGACCAGTGTGTTGTGTGTGTGTGTGTGTGGGTGTGTGTGTGTGTGTGTGCGTTGGGGGAAGCCTGAATTTTGATCATATGTTTGTCTTATAAATAACAGTATGCCAAGCACTGTCAGAAGCAAGTGTGTTTGAGATTACTTAACAACCTGACTTGATGATGCAGGTGATGCAGTTTGCACAGTGCTAATTGCTGGGGTGTGCAGTTAAAAATGGTTGATATTCTTAAATATGATTAAATTGAAATACATGCCAACCAATCACAATTCACAGACATACTGCAGCAACTTAAGAAGTTGTTAAGAATCTGTAATTTTATAGAACAGTTTCATTGCCGTGTATTTTAAAACCCGTCTATATAAAATAATTATCAGAATCACTTTTTGATGTAATTACAATCTTTTGTTTTTGGCATCTTGATGTTCCATGTGTTATTTGCCCTTTGGACATACTCTTGAAAAGCAGGCATACTTGGCTTTATGAGGATTATGTAAGAGTGATCCATGTTCCTCTATCAAAAGCAGTGTTTCATTGGTCAAAGGGCAGGCATTTAATTGAGGCTTTTTGAGTAAGTTGGTATTGTTTTGCACTGTAGTTCAGCAGAGGGCCTTTGATGAGTAATTTGTGACATTCATGTGTTAGAGGATGATATTCGAAGATGAATGAAAATGAGTCAGTTTGTTTCGATAAACGTACAGAAGGAAACAAAGCATGATGGAGAATAGAACTATCTCTTCATCAGGGCAAGAAGCGGGGGAGGGCGATATGGCAAAAATATTATATCGTTGTACTTCATGACATTTCTTGATACACAGTATCCATTATGATATTTTGTTTTTCTGAGATTTAATAAGTGGAACCGAAAATAGAACATCTAGTGCCACACATAAAACTACTATAATAATAATAATAATAATAATAATAATAATAAAGCTACAACTACAGTGATTTTTATTCAGTGTAATACAAATTGCAGTGCACTAAATCCAGTTAAACAGGCCTAATTATAGTCACTTTTTGATGAAACGTAGTTAGTCAGTATTCTTGAAGTACTGATGTCCATGATATGCTCAGAAAAGCGTTTCTGATCTAATTTATCACAATAACAATAAAAATCATCATATTGGCCGTACCTAGTGGCTAGGTCATGAGGGCTAGGAAGCAGTTCCACAGACTCAAAGATCCATGTGACTGGATTGACATTAAATAGCCATTTAAATAGCTTTTTTTTCTACCTTCTTCAAGATGTAGATTAGCCAGATTGACATTTTGGAGATGCAACATGTCTTATCCAGTGAGTGCTGTTTGATAGTGTGTTTGGATGAAAATGAAAATGGAAAATATTTTAGAAGGTGTCCAAACTTGTAGAGCATAAAAGATTTGCCTGTGAATTTATTTAGAAATTTGCTTGTGTGTTTCACCTCTGTAATGTAAGCATACTTTTATGGATGTGGTAGGGATGCATCAGTTTTTATGGTCGATTCCAGTTATAATTTTTTAACAGACAAATTGGTTGATGGCTGAGTTTTTGGCCTATTGTTATTTGCATTTTTAACCTGAAGATCACACTGAGATAAATGAGCATATGAAATGCACTAGTGTAGTATCTTTTGTAGCCAGAGTTGCAACATAAATAACATTATCTGCTGTTCAATGGGCAAAACTGGCATTTTAAATTGTTTAATTAGAAATTAATAGTTTCCTATTTAATAACATGAGTCAGACAAAATGCTACATCAAAGGTAAGTAGCAACAAGCTATTTAGCACAATGTGTCATATGCAATTATGCTTTGACATTTTAGTGCTAGTATAACAGCAGCATTTAGATACAGTGAGCACTTACCTGTTTCACTTTATTTACTTCCTAAATTTAAAACGCAGATCAACTAAAATAATAAATTGTCTGGTTACATTTTTGCATTTTGCATTTTGTGTATCGTGTGCCCCTAATATGTGTGTCTCTCTCTGTCTGTTTAGTGCCATAACAGTCATTGTATGTTCTTGTTCTTGTCAGATCATTGGCATTGGACTGTGTGGGGTGTTTGAGCTTATCAAGGAGACACGGTTTTCACACCACTCACTGTGTCTAAGAAGCCTACAGGCCCTGCTGGACATGCTACAGGGACAACAGCCTGAGAGCTTCCAGACTGAACCTCCAGATGTACTGGGTAAGTCTCACTCTCTGACTCACTCTCACACACACACAAAACACAAAAAACTCTTATATGCATGCATATTTTTGCTAAACATGATTTCATTTTTGGTCCCATAGAATCCCTCTTCCACCTGCTACTAGAGACAACAGTGCGAAGTACAGGAATGAATGACCCCACTGGTCAGGCCTTGACAGCTCTGTCCTGTGCATGCCTGTTCAGCCTGGTGGTGGCCTGGGGAGACACGGGGAAAACCCTGCAGGCTGTATCCGCCATCCTCACCAACAATGGCAGCCACGCCTGCCAGACCATCCAGGTTAGAATGGCAATGTGTTTGAATGCAAAGCAGTTGAGGTGTGTACTGCACACTAATGTATACGTAGACAGTTATAAAGATAAGCTCTGAATAGATGATTATGTTTTGTAGTGTTTAACAGGGTGTAAATTTGTGGCAGCTTTATAACACGCATTTAAGTCGCTGAATACTTGCAGTGGTATTTATGTCTGTTTGTTTGTTCTGAGCTGCAGAAGATGGTTCTACTGTTAGTTTGTAGAGACTCTGCCACTGCCACTGTTTCTAAGTGAAATGATCTGTGTCTAACTTCAGTGAGGCAGGCAGACTCTGAGCTGCATCTCTGTATCTGGAACTCAAGAATTGAATTGCTGAAAATGCCAAAGCCCTCTGAGTTCCAGTCTTATAAGGTTACTCTGCCTGCCAAGAGTGCCTCTGTCAATTACGTTTCGGCCTCGTTTGCGCCTCTTCTAGACTGTTTGTCTTTTCATGTTGCTAAATTTGGCTTAATGATGTAGCCTGGGGCGTGACTGCTGGATTGTTGGAGTTTAGACATGACACAGATCGGAGTTCATTCTCCTTAGTTGCTGAGAGGACATTCGATTGGGGCATAATATGCAAATGTAATATGCAAAGCTTGTTTGAAGATGTGGAGTTAGATTCATTGATGCTGAATGTATAATTAGCACAAAAGTGCACAATAGGCTTGTGAGATTGTGTGCATTATTGTGCCTCTGTAGCCATCACTGTTTCACAATTGAGTGGTGACATTGCGCATTTATTAGACATCTTGGCAGCTGCCCTTTTTTGATGGCCAAAATCATAAGTAAATATCTCTACTAATTTGATAGTTCAATAGTCTATTGATAATCTATTGATTATTGAAATGAATAATCGGTTATGAATCACTAACTCTTATGTAGCTATCAGCTGTCTTATTTAGCTTGAGGTTGTTTTAGGCATTTGCTAACTAAAAACGAAGACAATAAAGATGAGTAACTTATTTAAAAATGTGCTGTTTTAATGAACTTTCCTGCTAATACAAAAGAAAAAAAAAACTCCAGTATATTTTTTCTAGCAATTTAAAACCAAGAATGTGCACACTAGCAGAAATAAAATATATGACAAAATTCAATCAATTGTCCAATCAAGTAAATAAAAAAAATGAATCTAAATTAAAATTTTAAATGTAAACAATGCAGTCTGTGCTTCCTGCATTGTACTGTCTAACACTTTGTCAAGCTGTCCTGTATGCGGAGAATTACCTCCTGAAACTATTTGCGAGTGTTCGCAAATGTTCTCCTATGTTCGCTGAATTTGAACGCACTGGTGGCCTCAACCTTAAGACAACAATTCTATATTTAAAACTGTAAACATTATTTGGAATGTGAACAGGGTCGTTATGAATAATAGTTACTTGCTTCTCCGTTCCAACTCCATTAATGAGTCAACAGAAAAACATTTCCAAATAGATGTTACAGCTCTTAACGTAAAGTAAGACGGCTTTTAACATTAACCTTAGCTAACTAGCTAGCACAGGTAACTTACTGAGATGCATCTTCTTCATCTAGTGAGCCGACATGTTTCCTCTTCAGATGCTTCAACATGGAGGATGTGCTCCCCTGCCAGCTGAGGTCGGCTTTACAAATAGTATAACTGACAACCTTTTTTTCCGAGTTTAGCATGAAATGCTCCCACACTTTTGAGTATTTTGTTCTTGTGGCTGCCATCACGCTTTTCTCAACTCAAAACATTTTAGTGAGCACGAGAAAGGCGCGTAATGATGTCACCAATTAATAAGTGCTTTTAGTTGAGTGAAAGGCTGCTCTTAACCTTAACTGTAGTGGCAGTGAACAGTCTCACAGTCAACTGTAACCCATTGGTGGTAGGACAGGTGAAGTGGTAACACCGTGGAGAACACTGCTGAAATGTTGCATTTTCTGGTCAGAAACATGTAGGCTGTGTTCTCCAGAAGCCTATTTTTAAAATAATAATGTAGGCTAAAACTTACAGTGTAACCTCCATACTACTTTTATTGTTTATGGACTAGCATATAGCCTGTAAACAATATATTAAACTGTCTTTTCTAAATAGGGCTGGGCAATATGACGATATTTTATCATTATCGTGATAAATTGGCACTTTCAGAGCATATGGATATTGTCAGTGATTTAAGAACACTGACGACTACATGCATTATAAGGTGAGCATAATTAGGATTAAGATTGGATATAGTGCATATCAGTTTGTAAAATATTTAATAAAAATCATTGTAGTTATAGGTTTATTATTATTTTTATTATGTTTTTTTAGTTGTTGGCACTACACATTCTAATTTGTCTGTTACAACTTGTTATATCTCAGAAAAACTAAATATCTTGCTGAATACTGTGTATCATAAAAATGTCTTGGGGTATTGTGATATAATATTTTCACCATATTGCCCACACCTACCTCTGAATAGGCTTTGTATTTAACAACTTTGACCCTGTTTACACCTGGTTACTTCATGTAACTCGTATCTAGATTGAATCTTGATAAGATTTTAGCCACATGTATTTACGCTTGGTAGTCAAATGCGTCTCTGGTTAAATCTGAAATCTGACTGCTGAGTGGGATGGAATATGCAAATCTGCTTGTTACACGGCAAACAATTCCAGTCGTTTACCTTTTCAGCCTCTTCGTCTGCAGTTTGTTTTGCACAGTAATGTCTGTCCATATTGCTATTAGGCATTTTGTTTCTTCTATCCCCGAACATATGCGTCCTCCATAATTATCTTCCTCACAGACACGGATCACACACCTAATGACGTGCTGCGTGGGGAGGAGTTTCAGTTATCGAATATGTTTTAGAGAGGCGGATGCATTTACACTGCTATAACGTGTGGCTCAGATATGTCTTGGACCACCTCCTGAAGTGGTTTGAGTAATCCGATTTGTTTGTCTGTTGTAAGTGCGTCTTGGGTATGTTCACACTTGCATATTTATGTGACTTGGCCTTAACCAGATAATTCTGATACTCAAGATGCAAGAAGTTACCAGGTATAAACAGGGTCTTTGTTTTAACCTTCAAAATCATGTCCACGTTATGTTTCACAAGAAAAGACTACAGCACACCTTTTACGTTTTGTGACCTGAAACTTGTGTAGCATTGCACTGCAGTAGAGTGCTATGACAGACAGAAAGACATATTATGGCTGGTGTGGAATCTGCACTTCAAAAAGAGCACACAGATTTAAAGCCAGTGATACATTTTCTGGCATGTAAATTGCCCAGCTTGATTATGGATACTACGACTGATGGAATCTATTAGTAATTCTCAATACTATGGTCATATAGCCCAAATCTAGTGCACAACATAGTAGGATGCAAAGATACATCTGTCTTATGTGTTGAGGGTTTTTTTTTTTTTTGAGTTGATCCCTACTGAGCATAACTGTTTCATGTGCTGCTATCAACTGTGCGCGGTGAAGTTATTAAAGAGTCAAGAATGATCTACAGGCCCAGAATTGTCAGTGGGCAATGCTTGATGGTGGATCAGACAGACACTTGGGTCTCATAGAAGGCATTAACATGAAGGGTAATGAGTATGTGACTATTCATAGGTACAAGAAAGACAGGTTAGAAAAGAAGATGAGTAATTTGTGTGCTAAAGAAATTTTTGGTGTCCAGTGTGTGCAAGTGATATTGAGTAGGCTTGGGCAGTGTCTATTTTTTCATACCTTAATACCTTCCTGACTTTTTACCAGGGTGTATGGTATATGACTGTATTTGTGTAAAAAAAATAAAGTAAAATAAACTGAGCTGCGGGTAAAAAAGTTAGCTTTATGCGGTCACCAAATATAATACAGTGCACGATTTTCAAGCCATCATTCAATAAATCTTAAACCACCTACTAAACAACTAATTAATGTTAAACAGTGCTGCTAGAAGAGTAGCTTTTAAGCGTTAGCTTCACTATGATAGCATATTTATTATATGGCCCTTAAATTAACTGAGCTTTGTTTAGGCTCAGCAAAGTTTGTTTTTTTACGAGGCTGCTAACAGTAGCAAGGAAAAACTCCCTAAGAGTAAGAGGAAGAAACCTTGAGAGAAACCAAGACTCAAAGAGGAAACCCATCCACTTCTGGTCGACACTGGATAGCAAAACAATGACAAAAGAGCAATATGAACAGAGAATAAGGTTTGACCATTAGTATAAGATACAGAAAAGGGGAAAAGCAAAAGAAGCATTGGCTATGATTAAATAGCTTGAGTTTGTGCATGCAGCAGTATCATTAGGAGGGTCAGTGGCGTGCAGGTGAGGTTTGCATACTGATGAACAGCGGGAAGCTCCATGGTGGTCAAACTGGTCCAGAAGGCTGGTGAGCAGTGGGTGCCCCTTTAAAGCAGATGAAGCACAGGATGGGCAATTGTGCAGCTTGAAATGAAATACACACTGGACTCTCTACTTTGATCTGCTAGGCAAAATTAATAAAAAAAAAAATTTAATGTTGTAACAAACCAAAACATATTTGTTAGCTTTAAAATCTAATGAGGTAGTATGTTGTTTTAATGTAAAAATGGTAAAAAGCCTCATTGGGCTCTCAGGTTTTATTTATTTATTTATTTATGCTCTTGCTGTGCAAATTAGTGCACTTTAAGCTATGGGTTGCATATAAATTTGCCTCTCCATTCCTTTATCTTGCAAACTTTTCAGTTTCAGTTTGGCACTGCCTGTTCCTGAGTCAGACGAGAACAGTCATGTTCATCAAATAAAACATGCACAGCATTGCTCTCTGTATTTTCTTCTTTTCTGCCTTTTAATTCTGGTGTAATTGATAGTGTTGCATGGTTAATGCAGCCAGTTTCTCTACTTTGGTTTTTGGACTCTTTACTGCATATCACCAACTAAAAATACACATTTGGCTCATCACAACATACTGATTGGTCCAGCTTAAAAGTCATAACAATAATTGGCTTATAATGCTGGACTGAATGTGTCTAAAATGAAAAGAGAAAAGATATGCAGGATGAATTTTTACAAGGCCACAAGGATAGTACTTCCAAGTGTAAATTTAATGAGAAGTGCTTGTTGTAGTTAATCACTATGTACACCATTGCAACAGACAAAATGTCTGTCTTTCTTGAATGGCTGAAGCCTAGTTGTCAGTATGAATGAATTTTCAAACACAACAGTGTTTCTGATTTGCATCTTGTGTCTGAATGATGTATAGGTTCCAACCATCCTAAATGCTCTTCAAAGGAGCGTACAGGCAGTGCTTGTAGGGAAGATCCAGATCCAGGACTGGTTTGGGAACGGCATCAAACGAGCAGCACTGATGAACAAGTGGGTTCTGAAGGAGGTGAGCATTGATGAGGATGAGCGCTGTCTGCTGCAGACTGACGGATCCTTCCTCTATCTGCTCTGCAAGGATGGCCTCTACAAAATAGGCTCAGGGTACAGCGGCACTGTCAGGGTAAGCCTACCTGTTATTTTACCATCTGTCTTGAACAAAGAATAAGCTATGTGAATATACTTCTTTAGTTCTAAAATCAGAATAGTCTAATCTTGGAGAGCTCCCAAACTATTTTATTTAAATGAATAATAGCACTATAGTGCTTCTGGGAGTCTCTTTCTTATGTATGTAATGTACTGTTATTTATTGCTAAAACTGTGGTTTGCCAAAGGGTCTGCCTAAGTGTACTAATGGAAGACTAATTATTGCAGGGCCATGTGTACAACTCTACATCACGCATCAGGAACCGAAAGGAAAAGAGGTCATGGCTGGGGTTTGCTCAGGTAACAAGACTACTTCTTAAATTCCTACAAAATTTAGAGAACTGATTTATTCTATGATATGAATGCATGTAGCATCCAGTCACATGCAAGTTGTCAGGTTTTTCTATGTTATAGCTATAATTAATTTGGTTTGAGAGCTCTGTAGTAAACTTTAAACCTCTCTGTAGTATCAAAGCTTAAGGATAATTTTGGTCAAGTTTGCTACAGAACATTTAGGGCGAGGGGTTAAAAGGTCACATGGCATGGTGATCAGAATTCAGGAAGATGTATGCTGTGAAGTGTGTGAAGTGGTTGCTAAAATTTTAGTCTGTTAATGGAAGTACCTCTACTGAAAACAGCAGATATGAAGTCTGAGATGCTTAAAAATTGTTCTGTGTGTTTGTAGGGCTCCCTGCTATATCGTGACATGAACAGTCACAGCATGGTAGCCGTCAAGATCAACCCAGAGACTCTAGAGCAGGAGGGCACGATCACAATGCCTGGTAACAACACCTTTAATTAACATGTCTATTAGGGTATTAAAATGTATGTTGTAATCCTAATTTTTAAAGAGACTAGCTAAATATTCTTTTCCGCACCCCAAACACTGTCCTCTCTAAAGACCACTGTGCACTGGGCGTGGCATGTCGCCCAGCTAATCGTCTGTCACCTCAGCTAACCTTTCTGGCCTACTTTGTTTTTCACCTCAAACGTGTGATTTGTGAAGAGTGCTGATACCATTCAGGGTAAATTCATAATTGATGCTGAAAGTTTCATGTTATGAAATTCAAACAAGTAGAATGAAAAAAAAATAACGAGTGCTTGGCTGTTATCAGTTACATTCTGTGTAGTATGGTCACGATTTATACTGCATCTGCTACATGATGCTAGGTGACGCTACGTAGTGCTGCATGGTGTGTTGTGTGCGATGTGTGGTTGCCATTGTAGCTTGCCTTTGTGTTCTGTCACTTTGCATTGCTCATTTAGATTTATTAGAGGCAAGAGTGCTACAGTATGTAAGGGCGGTGCTTTGCATGAATGACACTGTGTCCTTGTTTTTGTTTTGAGGTCTTCAAGCAGATGGGCAGAACATCATATTCACTGACGGTGAATATATCAACCAGATAGCAGCCTGCAAGGATGTAAGTATTTTCAAAGGCACTTGCTTATGCATAGCTAATTGCAACCTCTGATAAAGTCGCTTTTTATTCCATGTTACCTTTTTATTATTGCTGTGCTACCTGCATAAAAATCTAGATTAACTGAGTAACGTTGTCATTATCACCTGTGTAAGGAAATATCATTTGTAGCACTATCCAGGAACTGATTTGCCCAGACACTAGGTGACAGATTGATGTAACCAGTCAGGACAGAACCTGCTGTTCAGACGCCTTTGCTAAACAGCATGAAAGCAGGGAGTCTGTTCTCTTCACACTGAAATGAAATGTCTGTGATAGAACACAAACAGCTCAGACCACACAACAGTTTGTCACTTATGGCCTGAAAGACAGCAGCATCCTTTTCCTATACAAACAGTCAGAGTGGGTGTAATGCTTAGGTGCTTATGACAACCAAGATCATACCGTCTAAAATAAGGAATAATTTTATCAGGAGAGAATAATTATTTGAAAATGTATATAGTTTGTGTGCATGTCTTGTCTGTTTAATGACTATGAAGTGTGAGGAGAGTCCGCAGGGCAGCATGTAGTCATTGTACCAGGGTCTCCAAGATTACTGACATCACATTCGTGAACCACTGTGAAGGAGAAGCATGTAAAATACATTTATACATGCTTCCAAGGATAAGGACCATATACATGATGATTTTAGATGCAGAGGAGCTTTTATTGATACAAGAGAGAAAGAAATTGTGTCTGTGTGCACATCTTTGTGTTTCAGCAGCCTCTAAGCAGCCAACACGGATGTCCTGGAGGGAGGGAGGGGCATGCACATTTTGTAATATCAAAGCATAGGCAAATCAAATAATTGCCTCAGGCATACAGTTCTGTACAAAAGTCAGGGAGCACCCTTCATATATTTACTTTCCAGTCAAAACAAAAACAACCATTAAGTACATTAAGTACAATTATTCATTTTTTGGCATCAGGGGAAAAAGGCAGAAAATGAAACCGAAACCTCAACAACTAAGTATAGTATAAAAATCTCAGTATTTAGTATGTTCAGCTTTTATTACAGCTTCTATTCCTTTTCAGGAGACTTGCTTTCAGTTTTTCAAAGAAATCTACAGGGATGTTTTTTCACACCTCCAAAGTTGAGTCTTAGAAGTTGGTTGAATTTTCTGCTTCTCACAATCTAAATAATTGCAAAAGCATTTAATGATGTTGAGGTCTGGACTCTGGGGTGGTCGGTTCCTTTTTTGAGAACATCAGCGGCTTCTATGATTTGTAGGTTTGACCTATGGATTTTTTTCTGAAGCAAAAGTGAAAGCTTTAAGTATGGTTTATCTGATGGTGACAGTTTTGGTGATCTACCAGGTCTTGCACAGTTGTTAGGAGTCCCATTTGTCTTTTAATAATTTTTTTAAATTCCAGTTCTGTAAACTTTTTCACTTATTTTTCTTTGACTTTCACCTTTCTTATGCAGGTGAATTATCATACATCTAATTTCTTCAAATAACTGGTGAAAAATGAACACCTTGTACCTAATGGCCATTTTGATTGGGAATTAAATAAATGAAGGGTGATCTCTGACTTTTGCACAATACTGAATCTCAACTCCCACACACTCACTCTTTTACAATGACACATAGTAGCCCACAGGGCAATGCGGTGCCACTTTGTCTCCTCTTGTCATAACTGAGCTAGATGTGGCAATGTGTATGTAAGTTTGTGAGGTTGTCCAGTTGAGGGGCTGGTTGGTATGTGCTGCCCTATTGCCAGGGTGAAGGATGTCTCTCTCCTCTTTGTTGGGTTTAAGCACACTTAAATGCGTGTGTTAATATACTCCTTGTACAGAGATTGTCTAATTGAGATGCTTGTGTAGTTCTAATGGTGTCAAAGACTTGAAATCCCCTGTGTCGGAAGTTATTTTAGTACTGCTCCAGAACAAAGTCAAAAGAAATTTAAGCTTGAAAACTTTATGGATCCCAAGAAATAAACTTGGTTTCTGATCTCATTGTTTAGGCAAAGATAGTCAAATAAAATTAAATCAAAAAAGTAAACAAAACAGCAATAGAGATCTTCAATACATATTGAAGAGCCACTTTCCCAGATTTCTGATGAACAGTATTACTGATTCAGCGCTAGGTTTTATGTATGTTATCACTGTTGGAATAAAATTTTGTATCTCCTTTTTTTCAATTTGTATTTTGTTTTTTAACATCTTTTGAAAATGACAGCTGTCCTATACAAGGATTTGCGACGACAGCAAAAATATGCTACATGTAGACCGTTTTGTTTGGTAAGGCAGGTTTGACTCCTGAGTGCTCTGTGACTCAGAGAACTGGGTGACAGCATAGTGCTAATGGCCCAATTATATAGAGAGAGAGAGAAACTGAGAAAGAGAGAGAGCAGCTGACCTGCTACATTGATGGTCCTCTGTGGACCATCCTCTCATCTACTGAGTGGGTCTGGGATACATTATCACTGGTTTAACACATTTGCCCTGACGTGGACACAAAGTGCACAGAGTAACAGTACAGTGCAAAAGGCATGATTTATTTGTACCACAATTACTGCTGAACAGGTCTGGATGGTGTACACATACTGTGGAACTTAATTGCCCTATTGCAGTAATCATCATATAAGAAAACTGAGGTGTAACCATGCTTATTGTTTTGATGCAGGACGGCTTTGTGGTGCGGATCTACGCCACCAGCACGGACCCGGCCTTGCAGCAGGAGCTGCAGCTTAAGCTCGCTAGAAAATGTCTTCATGCCTGTGGCATCTCGCTCTTTGACCTAGAAAAAGACCTGCATATCATTAGTGAGTTCACTTATTTCTGTGATCTCTCTGTGTTTTATCTCTCTGTATTTTCTCAGTTAAATTAAATTCTGTATTAATTTTAACCGAAAGATTATACAACTCTCCCTTGCTTTTTTCTTGATCACTAGCCTCTATCAGATCTACTCCTTTAACCCTGTCAGTCTCTTTCAACTTTTTTCCCCTCCCTCTCTTCCTGCATGTAGTAATACATTAATTTTATTAAACTCAGATTTACAAGAACTCAGTAATTTTTTTTTTCACTGGTAAAACTGACTGGCGTTCGACTGAGCTGTTGACTCTTAATTTCCATCTACAGGTTGAGTAATTGAGGGATATAAAACTATTGTAATGACCTTTGTACCCAAAGCTGAAGTCAGCTTCTTGTTTGAATTTTCCACCATAAATGCTGCAGCAGTTCTGGCGCCTTGCAGCGGGAAAATTTGAACAGGAATCTTGCCAACAGGAAGCCAACTTCACCATCACCCTTTTCACTGATTTTACTTACTGTGAACAGCAATATGTGGCAAATACTGGTGTCATTGTTCCCAGATACTGAAGAGAAATCTAAAAACAAAGACTATAAAGAGTGTTATAACTAATATAAACATTAATTTTTATCCCTCTTGTTCTTTCAAACTTTCGCCCTCATTATGAAGTAAGGTTAAATTAGTTGGCCTGTCAGCTAGTTAATGCTAGTTTTAGCCTAGCCTCTTTTCTTTACCTCTTTTTTCTTTACCCAAAGTTAACTAAAGTTACTTAACAACCAAGTAAAAGAAAAAAAGATGTCCAGCTGTACTGACCATAATTTGCCACAAATCCATCCTGTAGGTGGACTGTTTTACTCTGTATATTATAGATTTTGAATAAGGTCTAATGTTTTTATTTTTAGTGAGCTTTTTGCCAAAATCCTGTCTTCAGCTCAGCCACTGATTACTTTGCAGTGCTTTGCCTCACCCAGTTCTGATATGATTGGCTTACAGCGTATGAGGTCTGATATGATTGTCTGAATGTTACGTTAGTCAATCTTTGGTAGTACAGCAGAGGCACCACCAGCGCCTTCCCCAGGTCGTGCCCTGCTATCACAGTATATTGTGAATGAGAATAAACTATAGTTGTTTTGGACTAGTTATGTACATTTACTTAGAAAGGGGGGCTAAATAACATTTAGAAGGAAGCTAAAGCCACCCTAAAATTGGCCTAGCAAGGCCCATGACCAATATCAACATTTTTTAAATCTTTGCCAAAGTGAGATGTATAAAAAAATGCAGCTGAATTTGGAGCATAGATACGCTGGTGCAACATTTTCTGTCTTTCTCATCTGTCTCACAATGTGCTTGTGTGTGTGTGTGTGTGTGTTTTGTTTTGTTTTTTTCCCCCCCTGTCTGCGATCATGTCCTCAGGCACAGGGTTTGATGAAGAAGCAGCACTGCTCGGAGCTGGCAGGGAGTTTGCTTTGATGAAAACAGCTTCTGGGAAGGTACGCTTCTGCATAATCTTACTGCTTTCCAGTTTTCCTGTTCCAGTCACATTATCAGCAGTGCAGAAGGCAGAAGGAAAACAGAAACAGTTAACCATAATTAATTCCATTATTTTTTAGTTATACTTTGCACTTTGGCTTAATTATGATTTCTTTAGCAATTTAGAAGATCATTCCTGCGTGCTAGCAAGGACTTTCCTTTCTGCTTCTGTTTTTTGCTCAGTTTTGCGTGTTAAGAGCAATGTCATGTTTTGAAGTGGCGTCAGACCTGTAGTGGAGAAGTTCTTGGGTGTTGTACCACTCTTGGTACTTTGCATTAACAGTAATTACAAATTGCCTGTCTAATGTCTCTCATAGAAACAGCATTTTATTTGTAAAAACCTATTTAATGTTTGGTTTACCTTTTTTCTTTTTTTTAAACCAAATTTTCTTTCTAATTTTTAGCCTTTGCCAATTCCACCCACTGGCTAGTTCTTCCCCATCACACAGTACTACCAAGAATTGTGTCAGTGATAGCAACTGCTTCCTTTGAGAAATTTGAGGCGCCACCATATCTTTTTGAACTGCTGATAATGTGGCATCAACGTGCTTGGAGGAGAGCACTTGTAATATTAGCTAACAGACACCTGTAATGAGAGAATGAGCACTGTCCTACACCCCCCCACATAGAGAGCAAGGCAGATTCTGCTCTCTTGAACTGGCCACACGTGACTGGGCATCACCAGGAACAAATTCATGATCTCCTGATGATAAGCCCATGCTTAACAGTTGCACCACTCCGGTTTCCTGCCTTTTTACTTATTTGACCAAAAACTGAAAGTGCCATTTTTGATCCCTAGTCTAAACCGATGAAAACGCTTTCAGAATAATTTTAATAAAATATTATACTTACTGTAAGATTCCAAACTAGTTAAACAATTCAAAAGTCCTTATCTTGTGTACATAGGATCATGGGAAGCTTAAAGAAAACTTGTCAAGTATGCAAGGAACAAGGAACTTTAGTGTGTATTAACTTTGCTGAGTGTGTGTGTTGGAGAATGTTTTTAGTGGGATGTCTGTATGGGTGTGTCCAGGGTGTGAATAAAAGAGCCCTTCTGTGAGTTTGTCACCAAGTTAGTCTAATCTCAAGCTTGGCCATATGTGGCAATTATCCAGCCCAGTGAACACTGCATGAAAAATAGAGCTGCTTGACCTGTGACACAACAAAAAACTTTTTCACTACATCGTCTTCCTAACACCTCGCCACTGTGCTCTGTGTCGTAACAGTGCCTCTGAAGACTTGTAGCATTTTTTGCTCTCCTTTGTCATGTGTAGACCTAATGTGTCTTGCTCTTACTTGCTTCTATCTCTGGTTATTTTTATGGGAAGCCCCCCTCTCTTTATGATGATATTTATGATCTCCTGGTCATAGCACTTCTGATATACATCCCTCAGCTGCACAGTTAAAATTTTCACACTTTAAACATTATTAAAGAGAGCCTAGGAGTGCTGTTGCTCATTAGTAAAACTGCTGTAGTCATTGATGGAGTCACTGTTTTGTGATAGAAAACATCAGAAGTTTTAGGAGATATTTTAATGAAATACAAAAACCTGTTGAAAAAAATACAAATACCTGTTGTAAAAAAAAAATCTTTTCTTTCCCTTGACCGTTCCTTCTAGATCTACTACACTGGGAAGTATCAGAGCCTTGGCATCAAGCAGGGTGGCCCATCAGCTGGGAAGTGGGTGGAGCTGCCGGTCACTAAGTCACCCAAGATTGTGCAGTTTTCAGTGGGCCATGATGGCTCTCATGCCCTCTTAGTAGCTGAGGATGGCAGCGTCTTCTTCACAGGGTCCGCCAGTAAGGGAGAAGATGGAGAGTCAAGTAAGGCTTTGTTAGTTGGTTCATCATTTGAGAAGGTGTGGAATTTTGTCAGCTATCTAAGGAAGAAAGCCTCTTCTAATGAATTGGATTTCTTTTTCAAATATGTTCAGCATGTAGTAGAGCCTTGCTTAAAATTGCTTATATAAATATAACCTTATAATTCACTTAATTTACTCAAACTATTTCTTTCTTCTTCTTCCAGATGTTTCTGTTCTTACCATTTGTAATTTAAAAAGTGCATTCTTAAACATTCTTTTCTCATAATAAAAGTCAATTGAGCTAATAGTTGGCTTGGATTTCTCTTATATGAATACATGCTGATAGAACACAAACGTTCAGGAATATTCTTTTGCACAGCCAGTGATTTGTTTCAGGGCAAGCAAGCATCTGTGAAACTGTAAAAGAAATGTGAACCTTATTTTCTTCAGCAAAGAGTCGGAGACAGCCAAAGCCCTACAAGCCCAAGAAGATGATCAAGCTGGAGACAAAGACAGCTGTGTACACAGCCTGCAACAATGGCAGCAGCAGCATAGTCACTAAGGATGGAGAGCTCTACATGTTTGGCAAGGATGCCATTTACAGTGACAGCACCTGTAAGTATCTTCACAAAAATATTTTTTTTTTATAAATGATAGACTGACATTTAGCTTTCTGTGGGCAATGTATCCATCTTCTTTGCAGTACATTGTGTCACCTCTTGTATTGGTTTTGTTTTTAGATTGCCAGCTATACTTTATTGTGAATGCGGGGATCTTTGCCAGATTAAGCATATCATTGCTGTAGAGTTGGGCCTGATCTCAAAAGTGCCATGATGTTAAATTCATCTTAGTTCTTTGAAAGAGTCTACAGAGCGATGTTTGAGCTGAGATTTGTGCTTCAGTGCCTAATCAAACCCTGATCAGTCAAATCCTTTGTTCTCATGTTTCATTCAGGCCAGGTATCAGATCTGAAGGGTCACTTTGTAACTCAGGTGGCCATGGGTAAGGCCCACACATGTGTACTGACTAAGAGTGGCGAGGTGTGGACGTTTGGAGTGAACAACAAAGGCCAGTGCGGCAGAGACACAGGAGCCATGAGTCAGGCAGGGAAGGGTAAGAATCATAAATGGATCTCTTTGGTAGCATAAATCACCAGACAGATCAGTCACATTACTCTTTCTGGGCCAGGGGTGATTAACTCAAGGTTTCCAGTGGGGCATCACTGTGCTGTCTCAGTGAAAAATGCCCTTTGATTGTATTTTAGAACCATCTTTGGGATTTATGTGTTTTGCTATTGCAGCTTTTGGAGTGGAGAACATGGCCACAGCGATGGATGAGGACTTGGAAGATGAGCTGGACGAGAAGGAGGAGAAGTCAATGATGTGCCAGCCAGGCATGCACAAGTGGAAGCTGGACCAGTGCATGGTGTGCACTGTGTGTGGAGACTGCACTGGCTATGGAGCCAGCTGTGTGAGCAGTGGGAGACCTGACAGAGTGCCAGGAGGGTATGTAACGTACACGTCCACACACAGCAGTGTAAAACCATGTTGCTAGTTTTTGCTTCATGAATGTGCTATTATGTCTTTGGATGTGGTGTTTGTATATGCACTATGTATGTGGTAATGTTTGTTTATGTATGAGTCTGTATATTCTCTTCAGAATCTGTGGCTGTGGCTCTGGCGAGTCTGGCTGCTCCTCATGTGGTTGCTGTAAGGCGTGTGCTCGTGAGCTGGATGGTCAGGAAGCCAGGCAAAGGGGAATCTTTGATGCTGTGAAGGAAATGATACCACTAGATCTACTGTTAGGTACAACACCAACTTTATCCTGGATGGTGCTGCCTCATAATTGGTTACGGAGACTCTGTACTACCATTTCTAACATATCATTATCATGTTTATCATTCCATGGCAAAGAGCTGCTGTTGCTGTAGTACTGTTGTTGTTTGCCTAATATCACAGTGTGCTTGTGCTGTGTCTGTATGTGCATATGCATGTCCACTGACTTACATCGCTTTTCCATGCTCATCATTCACACTGCCCATGTTGTCTCTCATTTGCTCCCTCCTTTGGCCCTGCCCATGCTGGACCGTTTTTATTTTAGCTGTTCCTGTCCCTCCCCCTCCAGGCGTCAATATAGAGGAGCACATCCAGATCCGACAGGAAGAAAAGAGGCAGCGCATCAATCGCCGTCACAGGCTGGAGGAAGGCAGAGGTGAGATGCAGTCATTATTATAAACACACCCACACTGACCACTGCTCTTCAGGACAAAGACAGTGCGGAGCCTGAAGTGCAGGTTATGTAACAGCATGTTAATAGTTATGTGCTTAAGACACCGTTTACACCTGGATATTTCATGCATCTTGAGTATAAGGACTACACCTACAGATTATCCACATAAAATGCAGGTGTACGTGCACCCAAGATGCAGTTATAACAGATTTAAATCATTCCGTTCACTTCAAGAGGTGATCCAAGACTCATTTTAAACAAATATACATGCATTCATTTCTCCAAGCCACATTTGATGACCAGAACCCCTCCTGGTGCTGTGATGCCACCTTCTTCTGCTGTTCTGCTTGTGGGGGACAAAACCCCCTCTGGGCTACCACCACTAAACAGAGGCATGCTGCTCCTTCTGTTTAGCTCTTAATGAGTTTGTCCTTCTGAGTTTAATTCAGTTGCCTTAAATGGCCCGAGGAAGTTAAAATAAAGTGCCAGTTACATAAAACTGTCCAGGTGTAAACAGAGTTTGTGTTTTCAAGAACTGGTGCTTTGTGGATCTGCTGAATCAGGGCACTGCTTGTCATGGACAGCATGATTTTTCACATGCTGCTGATGGGCTTTTGAGGCTGTGTGCAATATACCAACATTTGACTGCAACCCTTAGCCATCGGCAGTTGACAGTGATAAATATTTATTAGTTCAATTGACAACATTTTAGGGTTTATATGGCACATGGACTCCAAAATAAAGAAAATGCAGATCACAAGAATGATTTATTTTTATGCTTTTAAAGGCCATAGGCACCATCAATTTGGCTCGAGCGTATCAGTTAAGACCTCTTTTGGACTGTGCACAGGGCTTTGCTTGTGATCATGCATTGTCTGTACAAAGCTTTTAGTCTTGATTCAGCCAAAAAAAGTAGCTCTAAGGATCTGTGATCCACAACGCTCCTACAGTTGAATCATCCTTCACATACATTTGTGATCTTTGTGAAAGGATTTGTCTTGTACAGGTGCTCCCCTTGCTTGTGTATTCTATGATTTGCGATGTGTTGTATACTATATGCTATTTTTCCATTTGTGAGATGCTTTGCCCATGCATGTGAAAGTTTCTTTCTCCCCCTCATAGGCCCCCTTGTATTCCCTGGCCCCCTTTTTATGAACCAGCGTGAGCAGGCCCTAGCCAGACTAAGACCCCTTCAGGCCATTAAGCTAATGCGGGAGAAACTCAAAGGTACTATGGTCTTCACTTCTGACTCCACTTGGAGCCCAGCTGCCCCCTCTCCCCATCACCAGGCTCTTCTCTTCTCTTCTCTTCTCTTCTCTTCTCTTCTCTTCTCTTCTCTTCCTCTTCTCTTCCTCTTCCTCTTTGCCCCCCCCACTCTGCTTGTACATTTTAGTAGTAGAAGAAGACAAATTGCCCAGTTGTGTTAGTTAGGTTGTGTGTTTTTGTTTTTTTTTAATATTTGAACGTCTCACTTTTTTGTTAAAATAGTAGCAACGTTTGTTAAATTAGTAGCCAAGCTAAAGTATAATTTCCCCAGATTTATACAAGAGAGTCTGACCAAGAGTCATACACCACTGTCTGGCAGATAACAAGTTGATAATGGAAACTACAATAAACACATTTGGCACATTTGTGCTAAAAATAGTGTGAGGAGCTCTTTTGTATATTTTTATGCAGTGTATCAAGTGTAACTGTTCACTTTCAAGCGGTCATATCAGCTCTAACACTTTCATCAAATGTTTTTCAGAAAATAAATCCCAGTGCACAATCACTATAAATAGAATGTGATACACGTTTATTTTGGGAAACATTAAATGAATAAGACAGTAGTTTATACATGTTTAAAAACGTTTTTGCACACCCCCTAATTCAGACTAACCCATTCTGTTGGTGGTGGATTAAAACTCCCGTCCACTTCCTCTTTTGGTGTGCATAAGCAAGGAGATTGAGAGGAGCGATTGCAGCTTATGTGTTCACAGTGAGGTTATAGTGATAACCATGCTGGTTGAGGTATTTGTTAGTAGGATTCTCACTCATCCATGCTGTTGTGATCAGGGCTGTGGCTTCAGCAAAATCACATCAGCTGTCTGTCTCTGCCCATCTTGGTGATTGCCAGCAAATCAGTGACTGACCCTCAAATTGTCTGTTAAAAAGCACTCACATAATTTGTTGTAGCTTGTTTTGCTGAGTTTTTTTTTGGTTTTCGATCACTATGCATGCTTTTATTCCTTTTTTCATCCTTTTTCTTGAAGCTCCAGTTCTTTCCTCCCAGGTGACTGATGGCCCTCAGCCTCCCCCGCTGGTTCAGATATCTGTCTGTGTGAGGCTGTCCTTCTCTGCCCTCTCTGTCCTCAACATCATCTAACCCTGTTCTGTGTTATAGACGGCAGCAGTGAGCGTGGGGACAAAGATGCCAGTAAGATCACTACTTACCCTCCGGGAGCGGTGCGTTTTGACTGTGAGCTCCGTGCTGTGCAGGTCAGCTGTGGATTCCACCACTCGGGTAAGCTAGAACTGCAGCTGGCCGCATGTTGTCTCTTGTATGTGGCTGAGCAAGATTTCCTTTTAGAACTCGAGACCCTTTGGAATCTAAAATGATAAAACTACAAAACCCTGCAATGAATACACAGTTGTATGCAAACATTCGGGCACCCCTGTACAAATGATATATTTTATTGATTTTCTACATGAAAATAAGTACACATCCTCTACAGGGAGCACACTTCTGCACATTTGAATACAGATTCATGTATTTACTGTGTTGGTGTTTAACATAGTGGGGGAAAATATACCACAAAATGTGTCCTGTACAAAAGCTATGTCATTTTACATTTTTTATTTTTTCCAGTATGATGAACTTAGCAAATAAATCAAATGTACACTTAAATTTACAGAAAGCAACATATTTTAGTTTGTTCCCTGTAGAGGATCTGTTAACAACAAAATGTAATTTGACTGGGCGTGTTCAAACTTTTGCATATAACTAGATTGTATATAGTTTTTCCTTTGCAACAGAATAACTTTTTACAAATTACAAATTTTACGGAGGTGAAAAAAAAAATTTATACGAGTGAACGTTGTGCAGTTCATGTGGTCACGATATCTTAATTCGTTCCCATGATTAACAATTCGTTCTCTCGTTTCTTTTAATCGTGCGCATGTTTCTTTACTTGGGTATGGTTTTTTTTTGTATTATTTATTTATTTATTTTTATTCGTGATCACGATTTTCTAATTCGTTCTCTCGTTTTCTTTTAATTGTGGTCATGTTTTTCTTTTTAATTGAATGCACATGATATTTGTCCTATGCAGAAGCAGCTAATGGCTCTGCTAGCCTTGTTTCTGCTCCTGCGTCAAGCTGCGGTGTTAGAGACCAGCACTCAATTACAGGAAGAAATGATCAGTGTTTTAACATCCTCACATTAATATATCTACATCCAATGCATAAATCTATTAAACTGTCTCGCCGTTTGACCTCATCCCACATGAATGTTTCTGTGTGTTTAATTAGAGTTTGTTGAAATGTTGATGCTGATCATTTCTTCCTGTAATTGTGTGATGATCTCTAACACCGCAGCTTGACACGGGAGCAGAAACAGGGCTAAGCGGCCATGCTGCTTCTATATTTCTGTTAAATATAATCATTAGAAAGTGCAGTTTAGTGAAGATTGTTTTTGTAGTTTATTGTCTTCCTTCATTTCACCACCAAACTGCAGCTGCACTGATAAATTATGGGCCGTTTGCTGTGAAGAAGATCTACAGTGTCTTCTTAACGCCCCCAAATCAGAATCAAACCTAATGAGCATCTCTGTCCATTATCTCATCAATCTAACACATCAAAACCCATCAGAAAGTCTCAGGGAGCTGTTAGCGGCCTGTATCTACTGCATTTAGTTTGTTTGTGCACAAATAAAAAAGCAAACAATGTGCGTTCAATTAAAAAGGAAACATGAGCAGGATTAGAAGAAAACGAGAGAACGAATTAGAAAATCGTGAACACAAATAAAAAAAAATAAAAAAAACCCATGCCCACGAAGTAAAGAAAACGTGCCCAAGATGAAAAGAAAACGAGATAACGAATTGTTAATCGTGGGAACGAATTAAGTAATCATGACCACGAATAAGAGAAAGCGTGCGTACGAACTACAAAACGTTCACTGGCTCTGTAAATTTGGTTTAGAATTTATACATTTTAAATTTGAATTTATTGGTAATTCGGTTAATTAACTTTCATTGTAGTACTGCAGTCCTGCCTGGATGCATACATACTACTATTGCTGTTTGTATGTTCATATGTAAGTGTTTGTATGTAACTTACAGTGGTGCTAATGGAGAATGGAGATGTTTACACATTTGGCTATGGGCAGCATGGTCAGCTAGGACATGGAGACGTCAATTCCAGGTAGGGATGTTTTACCACACTTTGAAACAAAGTGCTGGACATAAATTGTTCATTGTGCTTTGCCTTGAAAATAAATTAAATTAAATTTTGTTTTGCACATATACTAATAATATATGAAATAAATTGATCAGATCCAGGCTGCTAATGGCTTATTTGTTTCTGTTTTACAAAGGGGGTCTCCCACTCTAGTGCAGGCTCTTCCTGGCCCCAGCATTCAGGTGACAGCAGGCAGTAACCACACTGCAGTGCTCCTCATGGATGGTCAGGTCTTCACTTTTGGAAGCTTCTCGGTGTGTTGGTCCATCAGTGTTTTTTTTTTTTTTACTTTACGCTGAGATACTATTGAGTCTTAAGAGGTGTAAAAAAGATATATCATTGTCAGTGCTGGCCAAAATAAAAAAAACTAAGGGTTCCCTCTGTCGTGTCTGCAGAAAGGACAGCTTGGTCGGCCCATTCTGGACATGCCCTACTGGAATGCTAAGCCTTCGCCCATGCCCAACATCGGTGCCAAATATGGCCGCAAAGCCACATGGATTGGTGCCAGTGGAGACCAGACCTTCTTGAGGATTGATGAAGCACTAATCAACTCCCATGTTCTGGCCACCTCAGAGATTTTTGCCAGCAAACGCATCATTGGTACTGTCCCTGCATGACTCACCCTCAGCATTTGAAGGCCTTGTGTCTCAATGTTTCTGATGAAAAATGTCACTGCCTGTCCTAAACCAATTATCTGTTCTCTGTAGGTTTGGTTCCTACATCTGTATCTGAACCACCTCCCTTCAAATGCCTGCTGATCAACAAAATGGATGGAAGCTGTCGGACCTTTAATGACTCAGAGCAGGAGGACCTTCAGGGCTTTGGCCTCTGTCTAGACCCTGTATATGATGTCATCTGGAGGTAAGGATCTGGTTACACTGTCTGGGCTAACTATCTTATTGCAGCCAGAATGTGCTGGTGGCTGCAGAGAAGAAGAGAAAGATAAATGGAAACAATATACTGTATACATAACCATTCAGTATGGCTTTGCCAGTGTCCTCTGTGGCCTGTGTTATGAGTGCTATGAGTTCTTACACTTTTTTATCCTACAGTATGTGAAACTGGCTTAACATTAACAGTGACTTAACATTAACAGTGGTTTTGTTTAAGTCTACTGTTATATTACCTCTTTCGTCCATCAACCCAAACTCTGGCTCTCTGCATCTCTAGATTCCTACCTAGCACACGGGAGATGTGGTGCTACAACGCTGTGATTGCAGACGCTCGCATGCCCTCTGCCTCGGACATCCAGTCTCGTTGTAGCATCCTGAGCCCTGAGCTGGCCTTGCCCTCTGGCTCCCATGCCACCACCACGCGCTCTCACGGAGCCCTTCATATCCTGGGTAGGCTCTCGGTCAATCATTCTTTCCTTCTGGCTCTGTCACTCTGTCACATACATTTCTGCAGCTTTACCTCTCCATATAATTTCTCTCTGCCTCTCCTCATGACAGCCTCTCAAATCATGTCTAAACAGAAAGGAGATATAAGCTAAGTGGTGAATAAGCTGATGACTGATGCATTATTCTAATTCCCTTTAGCCATTTATATACAAACATTAATTGTTATGCAGCCATTGTTGAGGAAAGTGATTTATGTAATGTGTGTTGGTGATAAGTTAACTTCACAAGTGGACTCAATGTTAAAATGTGTATTATAAACCGCCAAGATTGTGAGAGATATGGGGAAAGTATTGAAAAAAAGTTATTCAAATAAATAGTTTAGCAAATGCCTTGAAAATGATAAATGTGACTATAATCAAGAAGAAATGAGAAATGAATTACCATTGTGGCATTCGTCCAATGTACAAATCGTATTAGAGTACATAAGGCTATGTTCAGACTACAGTAAAAGGGCCAAATCCGATTTACTGCCCAAATCTGATTGATTATTTATTTTTTTTGTTTAGTCGTTCATGCTGTCTTTTTAATGTGACCTATATCTGACATCAGTCTGAACAGATCACGCTCCTGAATTAATCTGCATGCGTGAAAGAACACCGATCCATTAAGTACACTAATCCAACAAATGTTAAGTTGATTGCAGAAAAGAGTGAAGTAGTGAATGTCTGTACTTGTTTTAATTATGGAAGCTGATCAAGCTTTCATTTATTTGCTGCAAAAATAAATGCTAGCAAAGGGGCGCACACTGCCACAGTGGCAATAAAGACACTTGATCTGTGTGCGGCTCCTTTGACTCCTTTGTTTCTCCCTATTTTTTCCTTTGAAGTAAACATGATTTTGAATGGCTGTTAGCTTAGTTTCTCTCATTAGTCAGTGCCATGCTTATTTGTTTACACTTGTTAACTTACGTTTGTGTAGCTCATCAAATGAAAAGACATGAAGTGTAACAATAGTAAAAGGCAAAAGGAGTTTTGATGCTGTTGCTATCAGTCAGTTGCAGCATGCATATAAAATTATGATAAAGATGGAGTTGGATTAATGTAAAAGTAGCATAGATTTTGATGTGACTGTTCAAACACATTGCTGCAAATCAGATTTTAGTACCGCATGTGAAAGAGGCCGAACTCAAAAATGTTTTTTTATTATTTTTATTTGTGCTGTCACACAAAAAACAAATCTTTGTCACATGTGAATAAAAAGATTGGATTTGGGCCACTTTTACCTGCAGCGTGAATGTAGGCCAAGTGGCCTGAGTTGGGCACAACCTGTTGGCAGCCGTTTTGCACCATCCCTAGCACTTCCGATTAGAGCTAATTAGAGTCAAATTATGTTTGGTTAAAAGACTTGCTCTGACTGGCTGTTTGAGAGGGACTGCGATCTGTCAGAGTTAAGTTATTAGCCATCTAACTCAAATACGATTAGTAAAAAATTCTGTGGTTGTCCAGTGTGAAATATGTTGCTGATTCTGTTGGGAACCTGTGTGTGATTTTGTACAGGTTGTCTGGATACACTAGCAGCCATGCAGGAGCTGAAGATGGGTGTGGCCAGTGCTGAGGAGGAGACACAGGCAGTGATGAAGGTTTATTCCAAAGAGGACTACAGTGTGGTCAACCGCTTTGAGAGTCAGTTCCCATTGCTGTGACACAATGAACTTTTTTAAAACCATGCTATATTAACAATGTCTCTACTTTGTCCAATACGAGAATGGAAGGTTGACCAGTGTTACCGAATAGAATGTTGCAGAATATGTGCAGTTTGTCATTTATTATTGTTATTGTTTTAATTTTTTGGTGTTCAGGTCATGGTGGAGGCTGGGGTTACTCTGCCCACTCTGTAGAGGCCATTCGCTTCTGTGCGGATGCTGATATCCTGCTGGGGGGGTTGGGGCTGTTTGGAGGTCGGGGAGAGTACACTGCCAAAATCAAGGTAGGCTGTTGTTTCGGTTAGAAGCTCACTTATGCTATAATTATTGCCTTTTCTCAATTTACTTAGATTTGATACATGAATGCCCTTGTGGATGATTGGCTGTTTACTTGCAGCTGTTTGAGTTGGGCCCAGATGGAGGAGATCATGAGACAGATGGGGACCTACTGGCTGAGACAGACGTTCTGGCTTATGACTGTGCTGCTAGGTACTGATAGAAATGTTTCTATTCTTTTTCTGGACATTAACACTCATTTCATCACTGGAACTGGTCGTGTGATATTGCAAAGGCAAAAGTCTAAAACTGAAGCACAGAATTTTAATGACATATAGCTCTCAGGGGGCTCTTGACTACTGTTTGCTAGTCTGAACATGTCCATGCTGATCTATAGCTAGCATCAGTGTTAATGTTGTGTCTGGTTGCTCCATGAGTCACACACAGATGCAGGATATGTTCTTTTTTGTTTCTATATGTGAGGGAGAGCGAGAATGATGCGGACCTTGTCATCAGGAAGTTTGGTCTGATTATCCATCCTCTATGTGTTTTCAGGGAGAAGTATGCCATGATGTTTGATGAGCCGGTGCTGTTACAGCTAGGCTGGTGGTATGTGGCCTGGGCTCGAGTGTCTGGGCCCAGCAGTGACTGTGGCTCGCATGGCCAAGCAACTATAACCACTGATGATGGGTACCAGCCTCTTTACTTTCATATCCAAATGGAAATGTTAATCCTTCAGTGTTGTGTGATTGTAAATTAGTATGTGAAAACAATGTCTCTCTGTGCCACTTTGCAGCGTGGTGTTTCAGTTTAAGAGCTCCAAGAAATCGAATAATGGTACTGATGTGAATGCTGGTCAGATACCTCAGTTGTTATACAGGTATGTGATGTAGGTGCTCATTTGACCAGACAACTTACTATGATACATTTTATTTCAATATGTGATTGACCTCTTCAACTTACTTGACTTTCTTAGGAGATTTCTTACTTGATTTTCTTAGGTTGCCATCAAATGATGGTAATGCAGCAAAAGGAAAACAGCAGACCAGTGAGCCGGTTCACATTCTGAAGCGCTCCTTTGCCAGGACTGTCTCAGTGGTATGTTTGCCAAGAACAGATACCTTATACCACAGTTAGTTCTGAAGAGAGAGTCTGATTGGTTAAGAAGTGTTCTTCCTGTCCTGTTATTTATGTTTTTTTTTTCACAATGATTGTTCGGTAAAATTCGACTGAGCACCAGTTACTGAGTAACGAACGAACCACAAACAAATTTGTTTTATGCTGCAGCTGACTAAGCCCTATTTTAGCACATACAAAAAACAGAGAATGGATATGATACGTAAGTTATAAGATCATTTTTGACCTGCAGGCTGTTTGGTTAGATTGGCCAGAAGAGAATAACAGCAGGCCTGTTTTAAATTCCAGTTCTGTCCCTAAATGTTCCTAAGTGAGGTTTTTGCTTGGCAGCTGTGATAGCAAAACAACTAAACAAACTTGAAATAGCCAGAAATTAACAGAACACAATTCAGCAAACAACATTGGCTGGAACAAAGCAGCATTCAGTTTAATCTGACGAGTATTGATAAAGCTGAGCTGAACCTGATATTGTGGCAGTTTTATGGCTCTGCAGTGCAAAAGGTGTTACTTTTTTGCTGAAAAATACTTTTCAATACTAAAACTCATTTGATACAGTGTTCGTCAAATTGACGTCTTTGCTTGACTTTTTTCAGCACTGTTGGTTACCAGCCATAGAATACTCAAGGTTGTGTGTTATTCATGAAAACACTTTTCTGCTCTATTGCTTAATTATGAATCAACACACCTGTATTAGCTAGACAACATATTTTTTTTTATCTACGTTTGCCTGTATTTGATAAACGTATTCGTTTAGAAATGGACTCAAATATGTGGACTGTTCTGACTAGTCTGGCCTAGTTGTGTTTATTTTTCAGAAATAGAAAACATATTAAATTGCTTATTTGAATTTGTGAAACAAGTAAATTAAAAAACAATACATTTACCAGTCTACTGACCTTCTAGCAAGTGGCCTGACCTAATGCTGTAATGTTTGTATGTTTTTCCTTCAGGAGTGCTTCGAGTCTCTGCTGAGTATCCTGCACTGGAGCTGGACTACGCTGGTGCTGGGGGTGGAGGAGCTCAGAGGACTGAAGGGCTTCCAGTACACAGCCACCTTGCTGGACCTTGAGCGTCTACGCTTTGTGGGCACCTGCTGCCTACGCCTGCTCCGTGTTTATATCTGCGAGATCTACCCCATCTCTGGTAATCTAGATAATATTTGGTAATAGATGCATACATGTGGTCAGTACAGTGCAGAAGGTTAATACTTCTATATGTGAAAAAAGCTTCTGAGTTATCATTTAGTGGTGGCTGCTGTTGGCAAAGTATCATAACTGTTCGATATGTCGTTAAATTATCATCAATATTAGATCAGCAAAACTACTGCTAATTAATTTACTGCTATTACTATTTACCAGTCATGTCACCACTGACACAGTGCATTGTTTATGGACAATGAATTGCCCTTCTTTTGTGACAGACAGATAATGTTAGTAGTGGAATTCTTTCTGTGGAACATAATCAGTGTTACGTGGCTGAAGTCCCTGTAACATGAATGCATGTATAGCATAATCCCAAATGAGAAGACAAAGGAGAAACTCCTTACCTTGTCAGGGTGGGTGGTATGAAAAAAATATGATACTTCAAGACATTTTCATGATACGTGATAGGCATAAAATTTTATCATATTATCCACTCGGACTGTATTAAATTTGTTACACCTTTAGTGCACATGCTCTGCTGATTATAAGCCAGTAAAGATTAGGACATGCGTCATGATAGCATATGTAACCCTAACATTGTGTGTCCCTGTGCTTGTGCCTTGTCCTGTTCAGCTAGTACCAAGGCAGTTGTGGAGGAGTCAAGCAAGCTGGCAGAGTGTGTTGGGAAGACACGCAGCCTGCTGAAGAAAATTCTGTCAGAGGGCATGGACAACTGCCTGACCAAACTGGATAACGACCCGCAGGGCTACCTTAGCCAACCGCTCACACTGTTGGAGGCAGTGCTTCAGGAATGCCACAACACCTTCACAGCTTGCTTCCACTCCTTCTACCCTACCCCTGCCCTGCAGTGGGCCTGCCTGTGCGACCTGCTCAACTGCCTTGACCAGGTAAATGCCTTCTGAGGACGCTTGGTCATAACCAAAATACAGCTTCTTCCTACATTGCCCAATTTTACCAACAGTGGTGAGGTCAGAGAATGCACACATCCTCTGTGGTATGTGGGATCCTTTTGAGGAACCAGCTACACAGAGCTCTCTCACAGCACACTAAAAGTGACTAAAGACTGTGATGCCTGATTGTGTCAGTATGTCACTGCATGAAGAAGACACTCTATTCATCTTCCCCATGTCTTGTGGAAATGTCAGTGTACCACTTTGTAATCCTTAACTTCTGGCCCCAGTTGATAAAAGACACTGCTGTAATTTTTACTAAGCCATAGAGTAGAATTTTGAACTGTACTTTATTTGGGAGCCTACTATTACCACTCCTATTCCCCCAGTAGGGGTACATGATATATTGGTGGCCAGTATATTATTTGCCAGCGAATGGGAAAGTGTAGGTATTGGAGCCAATAATTGCAACCAGTAACTTGCTGCCAGATTTGTGCTTGCACATGCACTGATGCAGGTGTAGTCAGCAGTGGTGGGCATTTTTGTTTTTCTTGAACTCATTGAAGTGAAACCTAGTGAGAAACACCACAGCCCTTACATGGGCGATTGATAGTTTCATTCCCTGACCAATCAGGATAATAAAGAGTCCTTGGGCAAAGCTGTTAGTACTGCATTCAGCTACTATTGTAAGTTTTTCTAGATAAGAGTGTCTGTTAAAAATACAAGAATAAATGTTTACAATAATTATCATATCTGATGTAGAGGTGTTGTGCCTGTGTAGAATTAATAAATTATCCATTGTTACGGTCTTATCCTGTCTTGCACTCGCTGCACATATGAATTATACTGTGAACTTGTTTTACAGTATGTAAAAAGTACATTCATTAGTGTTTTGAAACTTCCCTAGTCCTTAGCATTAACATGGTTAATTTTTCTAGTGCTTCATGTATCCTTGAGAAGCTGAACCACTTTCAAGCCCCAGAAAATAAGCCACTTGACAGATTTAGGTCTGATAGCCTGGTGGTGTTGTGTTCTGAAATATCTCCAGTGACATGCTCATTTAGAGGTTTGCTCTGAAAGTAAGACACTGAATTCAGGAACAGAATCTGCAATCCTCAATCATTAGAGTACGCAATCAGAGTTAGGCCTGTCATTCATGACAACACATTGAAATTATGTGTCATGAAATTATATGTCAAAAATCATTGTCATTATCAGATCTCTGACAGATCTCTCACTCTCAGCTTCACACTTACAGTAAATCCAATGTTGATGTTCTAGGACATCCAGGAGGCAAACTTCCGCACCTCAAGCAGTCGTCTGCTGGCTGCAGTGATGTCTGCACTGTGTAACACATCAGTTAAACTGACCTCCATTCTGCCTATCGCATATGATGGAGAGGTTCTGCTGCGCTCGCTCGTTAAACAGGTCAGCACTGAGAATGACTCTGCCCTCGCTCACCGCTTCCCCCTGCTGGTGGCTCACATGGAGAAACTCAGCCATGTGAGTACTCACAAACATCCTGCCTATGTATCCATTTAGGACAATGTTCACTGTAATTATTAACAACAGAGATAATGGACACAGACATTGTCTTATATCTGTGTGCGTGTGGGTGTATGTGTATGAGTGTATATAAGTATGTATGTATGTATATGTGTCTGTAGTGACCTTTTTTTAACATGAAAATGATATGCTGTATGTTTGTTTGGGCGTCCAGACGGAGGAGAACCTAATGGGGATGACAAGTTTCCGGGAAGTTCTGGAGAAAATGTTGGTAATTGTGGTTCTCCCAGTGAGGAAAAGTCTGAGGAAAGAGATGGAGCTTTTCTCTCCCCATTTAGTGTCCAACACTTGCGGCCTGCTGGCCAGCATCGTCAGTGAGCTCACCGCCTCTGCTCTCGGCTCTGAGGTTAGATACTTATGTCTTTCTCTTTCTTTCTCGGTCCAACTCTCTGTCTCTTTGACCTCCTGCCTTTTGCTCTTTTTTTTCTTCATTTTTCACCCTCCTCTTTCTTTCCTGGAAAAAACGTGACCATTTTCCAACTTCTAGTTCGAATAAGCTTTGCCCTCTGCTCTAATCTTATTACAGCAGCCTGCTGGCCATAAATAGCCTTTGGCTGCTGCATGAGAGATGATATCATTCTGTTCATCAGATATATCCCCTCCTCTCTGTTCCTGTTCTTCCCTCTTTGAGTATTGTGCTGTAGGAAGCTGAGTCATGGGCACAGGTGTGTTCTCCACAGGACTGTATCACCCTTCTATTGTCTGGTGTACTGCAGTCCGTCTTGCTTAGGAAACTGCCATTGACTGGTTGTCATAGCAACTGGTCAGCCGTGCCATTAGTCTGCTGGCTGTGTAGAGGACGAGCCATGTTACTGTTCATTTCATCTTATGTTGTTTTGGTATATATGGTTAGTATGTGGAAACGTATGAAGACACAGACCTCTTTTCTTCCCATTAGTTAAGGCCTGTATTTGTCATTTGAGCAAGCAATCACAAAAACATTTTCCTTCAATTTTTGTTATCTCCACTACTGCCACCCAGTGGAAAAGAAATGTGATGTCAGCATGCTGCGATGTTGATCATTTAATGTCTTTTCCCGGTACTGCATCATTACTTCTAGATCTTTAAAGTGGACTATATGCAGGATGGATTGCCATTACCAGTAATCTTAGCAGAAACATTGAACTTTGTGCATCTTTAGATTAAAAAACACTCAGTATTGCATTTTTTGAATTGCTCTGTTGTAATTTCCTTGCTCAGGTTGATGGGCTTAATTCACTGCACTCTGTAAAATCCACTCCCAACCGCTTCACTAAGACCAGTCAGGGCCGCAGCTGGAACACAGGCAATGGCTCCCCTGATGCTATCTGCTTCACTGTGGACAAACCGGGCGTGGTTCTGGTGGGCTTCTGCGTCTACGGGGGAGGGGGTATCCATGAATACGAACTGGAGGTTCTTGCTGATGATGTAAGAGCTGTTTTTTTGCGTCAGTTATATAAGCCATTTTTTATTAGTTGTGTCTTCTATTCTGTTTTTTTAATTAATTAAATTTTTTTGCATATAAGTAGCAGTCATAGAAACCACTCTCAAAGCCTCAAATTACATGGGGAAATATTGATTTGGCTCTTTCAAGTGATGCTTCCGTTTTCATGCTGCTTGTGTTTTTTCAGGAAAGCTCTTATAAAATCAAGCTTTGGAAAATAACCCAATATGTACTTTTTGATGCATGTTTCAGGCACAGACAGAGCACCCTGGGGACTCAGCACACTCCCACAGATGGACATCTTTGGAGCTGGTCAAAGGCACCTACAGCACTGATGATAGCCCCAGTGATATTGCTGAGATCCGACTGGACAAGGCTGTGCCTCTGAAGGTGATTTGGCTACTTACTTAAGCTCAAACATAAACCGTCTTCCTTTTGTTTTACGGGACTTTGAAACATCAGAACATCATTAACAAACATCTGCATCTCATATCTCTGTTTACTACAGGAGACTGTGAAATATGCTGTTCGCCTGCGTAACTATGGCAGTCGCACTGCCAATGGAGACGGAGGGATGACCACAGTGCAGTGTTCTGACGGAGTAACATTCACCTTTAGTACCTGTAGTCTCAGTAGTAATGGCACCAACCAGACCCGAGGCCAGATCCCTCAGATCCTCTACTACAGGTGGGTTATTACACTTTTGTATTCCTCTTTTCACAAACCAATATATCCTTTTTAAAAAAAAAAAGCAGTGTCTTTCTTGTCATACATGAGCCGTATATACCTTTAGAATTAAATTTCATGCCAAAGCTGTTGTATGACATGAGAATTCACTGTACGCCTAAAGTAAATCTGTAATTAATTAGAGCATGATGAGTACAAGTATTCTTTGTTACATTGTTGTTACATTTTGTCTGTCACAGAAGTGAATATGATGGAGATTTGCAGTCCCAGTTGCTGAGCAAGGCTAATGAAGAGGATAAAAACTGTAGCCGTGCTCTCTCAGTGGTTAGCGCTGTGGTACGGGCAGCTAAGGACCTCCTACACCGGGCCTTTGCTGTGGATGGTGAGTATTATCCCTTTATTCATGGTCATGTCTGAGTGTCTTACTGTGACTAACTGTTTTCTTTGTGCAGCTGAAGACATTCCAGAGTTGCTGAGCTCCTCCAGTCTTTTCTCCATGCTACTTCCTCTCATTTTGGCATACATTGGCCCTGTGGCAGCCTCAGTACCAAAGGTAATCACGTGTTCTGCCTAGGTATTTGTTTTTTTTTTTGTTTTTTTTGTTTTTTTAAACAGTTTATCTTGTCAGTGTCTATTATATCTGTCATAATTTTGTGTGACCCCATAACAGGCTGCCGTGGAGGTGTTTGGTTTGGTGCAGGAGCTTCTCCCTTCTGTGTCTGCCCTGAACCAAAAGTATGCCCCACCTGCTTTCAATCCTAACCAGTCTACAGACAGCACCACCGGTAACCAGCCTGAGCAGGGTCTGTCGGCTTGCACTACTTCCAGCCATTATGCAGTTATAGAGAGTGATCATCCTTACAAGCAGGCTGGTGTTACCCACTACAAGGTAAAGCATTAATTTGTACTAAAGTATTAATTAGTAACTAAATATGTTTTTAATTGTAATGACAAAGTATGTCAAGGTAAATATCAAAATATATAAGACATGTTTGGTTCTTATTAAGCAGAAACTATGAAGTTCACCTTTTTTTTTTTTTAAACCCTGTAGGTGTCCTTCCCAGACTGTGTGCGCTGGACAACTATAGAGTTTGACCCCCAGTGTGGCACAGCCCAGCCGGAAGATGTGCTGCGGCTGCTCATTCCTAGTCGGACGCTGCACTTCTCTGGCCTGGGAGCCAGGCCCCTGGCCCACGAGACCATCAACGCTTGGACCGAACTCAAGAAATTCTCTGGCTCTACTGGCTGGCCCACCACTGTCCTTGTACTGCCAGGTAGGAGCACAGTCTCAAGTTCCTAAACACACAGCATGCTACTGTATCTGAACACCGCTTGTTTAAAAAAAAAAACAAAAAAACAATTCCTCAAATAAGTATAACATTCAGATCCCAGAAAGGTAACTTAAATGTAAAAGGTTATAGTTTGCAAAATTAAAACTTCTTTTCTTTGTAGATATGGTTGTGTTTTTTTTTAGATAAACGCATGTGTGTGTGTGTGTGTGTGTGTGTGTGTGTGTGTGTGTGTGTGTGTGTGTGGACACAAAAAAACAATGTGTTTCCAGCAAGTGAAATTAAAACACCGGTAGTGAAGATTGATCACTATATACTGTTGCCATTATAAACTCATGTATCTTTCTTCTTTAAGGTAATGAGGCCCTCTTCTCGTTAGAAACAGCATCAGATTACGTCAAAGATGAGAAATCCTGCTTCTATGGCTTTAAATGTGTGGCTGTGGGGTATGAGTTTAACCCTGGTCCTGATGAGGTAAGGGGTCAATTTAAGCCCTTTGATTAGGGAGTTTTAGAATACATTTCTTTCTGATAAACCCCTGAGTTAATCTGAATGAGTTTGAATCTCATTCTCACAGGATATACTGTTCCTGTTGATTTTCTTTTCCACTCTCTTATGTTTAATGAAGATGGTTGCATGCATTTGGCTGATTTTTAGTTGCCCGGTTAATTAGTGGATTAGCTCCGTCTTTTGTGAGCTGGAACAAAGCTTTGTGATGTCTAGTCATGCATATTAACTGAAACTCTCTCCACCTGCCTGTGTCTCTTAGGGTATCATTCAGCTGGAGAAGGAGCTGGCATATTTGGGAAGTGTGTGTGCTGCTGCTCTCATGAAAAAGGACCTAGCTTTGCCTATAGGTAAAATATATATATTTTTTTTTCTTTAGGAAGTTTTACAATGGTAATTGCATTAGTGATTTCCACTTTTAATCATACTTCCACTCATTTCTGTTCAATGTATCACCTTTCTTTCTCTTCCACAGGAAATGAACTAGAGGAAGATTTGGAAATTCTTGAAGAGGCATCACTTCAGGTATTACAATAAAGGTTTTGTAAATCATTTAGGTTCAGTAAGATAAAGTTGGGTTAAGTAGGATTAAGTTGTAATCTCTGTGATTGTGTCTATTAGGTGTGCAAGGCCCATTCAGGGATCCTGGGGAAGGGGCTGGCTCTCTCTCACTCCCCTACAATTCTGGAAGCTCTAGAGGGCAACTTGCCCCTGCACCTGCAAAGCAATGAGCACTCTTTTCTGGAGGACTTTATCACTTGTGTGCCCAATTCAAGTGGAGGCCGCCTAGCCAGGTTAGTCCTAAAGAAGACATTATAGTCGTGCAGGCTGAAGCCCAACTGTTCAGATGTAAATTTAAATGGCATTTAATGCATTACATTAATCAGACTATGCTGGACAGTGCTTGTGGGAAAGCTTTGGATAAATGAACGAGCAGCGAATTAATAAACTAATAGCAAAGAGGAAAGCAACTGTACAAGAATCCAAAAGCTATAAGAACACAAGCAAAAGTGAGAGGGCTTTGATCACCAAGGAGTTCACTGTATGTTGACTGTACATATGATATTCAGCTGTAACATGCAGCCACTGTTGCTTTCACTGGACATCAGTGATGAAAATTAGAAAATGCATTTACAGAAAATACATGATTTTCATGTTCAGGTTCCTGTGAACCCTGGTTAACCCTAATAAAAATACTGTTAATGAATTATCTGTCCACTTATGTAACTATAACACTGCTTTAATTTGAAAAAAATCTTTCTTTAGGGTTAAGCTCAAACAAATAAGAGAATTATGCTTAATCGCATTCCACTACACAAACTAATGCAAATAATCGATATTACTTGTTTTTATCGTTGGACAGTCCTGGTTTTGTCTGATGATGGCAACAACAAAATAAAAGCAACACATGCCTAAGAAAGGCAAGTTATAATTTTTTTTTCCTCCAAAAACTTGCCTCTACTTTCAGGTGGCTCCAGCCAGACTCCTACGCAGACCCTCAGAAGACTTCCCTCATTCTCAACAAAGATGACATCCGTTGTGGTTGGCCAACTACTGTGGTTGTGCAGACCAAAGACCAGTATGGGGATGTGGTACATGTGCCAAATATGAAGGTAAGCCTTGTACTTATACAGAGCAACTATGTTTTTATGTCTAAAATAAGTTTTTTGACATCCGAGAACCTTTTCCAAATTCATCATCTTTGGTCTGCAGGTGGAAGTGAAAGCTGTGCCTGTGTCTCAGAAGAAGTCCATTCAGCAAGACAACATGAAGAAACTGCAGCGACTGCCAGGGAGCCCTTCTAACTCAGCAACAGGCACTGACCTCACTTTCGGTGGCTTGCCAGCACCAAAACTGGAGGCCACTTACGAACCCATGATCATCAAGGAAGCCCGCTACATTGCCATTACCATGATGAAGGTTTGCTGCTACTGCTTTGGTTTGTGAGAGCAGGAATAATAGGTACATCCAATGTAACCAAGTGCGTTCATTTATATTTCATGCTTGGATTGTGGTCTTTTCCCCCCTACTTAGGCATACGAGAATTATTCCTTTGAGGAGCTGCGCTTTGCCTCGCCCACTCCAAAGAGGTAAAGATGGGTTTCGTGAACTGCTAAATTCTGTATTCTGTTGAATAGAAATAATGTTTTACAGCATATGCTCTTATTCTCATCAGGCCTAGTGAAAATATGCTCATCCGGGCTAATACGGACGGCACCTACAGTGCCAACTGGACTCCTGGTGCTGTTGGGCTGTACACCATCCATGTTACCATAGATGGCATTGAAATTGGTAAATAGTCCTAGAATTATCGTAGCCTGAGTAGATGCAATAGCAGTAGTGTAAGCTAAGGGGAAAGTGTGCCATCTGACTTCATAAAACCATTGGCAGTTTTAATTTTATTTAAAGTCAAATAAGCTTTATAGAGCATTTCACTGTGGAAATACTATTTTAATAACTTAATAAAAAATGCCGCGTTAAGATGTGCTACATATAAATGATTGCTGACAGCATGGAATTTTCTGCAGATGCAGGTCTGGAGGTGGAAGTGAAAGACCCACCCAAAGGGATGATCCCTCCAGGCACGCAGATGGTTAAACCCAAAGCTGAGCCACAACCAAGCAAGGTGAGATTTCCTCTTCTAACATCTAAACCAAGGCCTGATCCCTTTGGTCTTGCAGGGCTTTTCTTTCCAAGAGTTACGTTCTATTGTTGACATTTTTTATTCAAACTTGAAACTTTTTTGTGTTTGTTTACCTTCAGCTTATTAGAAGTAAGGCTTGAGTTGTATTACATTCTTGTAAGGAGTTTCCTGGGTTGACGTGAGAAGTGACTTTTTCTTTAACGCCTTTTTCTCATGTACTTGTACTGTGAGTTTAAGCTGGGAAACAAGCAACACAAACATACTGCGCATAATCATGCAAGCTTTTTATGCCTTTGCTGCTGGGCTCCTTATTTCTGTGTAAAACCTCTCAAAGCTTGATTTTATGTCCTAAGGTTTTTAAATCAGAAGACTAATCTGACAGGTTGTTTTTGGAATGGAGCTCTTCTCACACTTTCTCTGCTACATATCCCTGCTGTGTGTTTGTCTCCTCCTCTCGTAATCTGCGGTGCTTTGCTTTCTCCTGCCATCTGCTTGCCTGTCTCACTGTTCCCCGTCTCTCTCTCCCCTCTCTGCTTCTCTCAGGTGCGCAAATTTGTCGCCAAGGACAGCGCAGGGCTGCGTGTGCGTAGTCACCCCTCTCTGCAGAGTGAACAGATAGGCATAGTCCAAGTCAATGGCACCATCACTTTCATTGACGAGGTAAACCACTCTAGACCAGGGACACACTTAATCTGTCTGTATTGTTTCCAAGTACTGTGTCCTTTTCCCTCTTGTTTTTCCTCTTGTTTAAATCAGAGAGAGCCTGGTGACAGTAATTATGTTTGATTCCTTTATGGTTCCTCCTTTCTAAAATCACAAATAGTAATAAGCTTTTTAAAATTAGTTCTGCAACTCTCTGTAAGCTTACATTTTTTGATTTGGTTAAAACATTTCTTTGCCTTTCCTTTGCTTCACACATGCAAGAGACTTTGAGGCTGCAGTTCTGTCCTTAGCCTTAGTCCAAGGGACATATTCATTTAAATTAGTCAGAGCTGGCCCCTGATAAGTCTGCTCTCTGTTATTGAGACTTCTTCAGCAGAAATACGTACTCAAACACTGCAGATGATGATATTCATAATTCCACACTAACATGCTCTGTAGATCTATGTTTACATGTTGCACGCAGAATCTTCTATAGAATCAATTATAGCACTATTACATGCAGAATCAACTATAGCACCCATGTACTGCAGCCTCTAAGGATCATGCGAGGTCCTGTTAGCAGTTACAGGAGGGCATGGCTCCGCTCTGTTGCTTGTTTCCCATAGATCCACAATGATGATGGTGTGTGGCTCAGACTGAATGATGAGACTGTTAAGAAGTATGTTCCCAACATGAATGGGTACACTGAAGCCTGGTGCCTCTCTTTTAACCAGCATCTGGGCAGAAGCCTTCTGGTCCCTGTTGACGTAAGTAATGGATGCCCCTTTGTAGACTAGCTGGAGCCCCTATGCTGCCCATTTGGGATCGGGAGTTATGCCTCATAACCTTCCAGGTTAACTGGAGCACTGTGCCAGTGCGTTCAGTGATATACTAGTTTAACATTCACTCTCAAGTGCATCCAGTAACCCAGTCCCAAATGCCTACAAGCATGAAGTGCTGATAACTTTGAAGTCAGCAAAATATTTTCTTGCATGTCATAATTCAGTGGCGCAACACTCCAGCGTTTCTTTTGAAGACTTTCACTGAGGCCTACAGAAATGAAAGCATTTGGGCAGGTGCATATGCACAGTAGTTTGTATGAAAGGTACTAACACTTGCATAACTGGTATGTTACCCATCATGTGTGGTGTGGAAAAAACAGCTTCTTGATGTCAGTGCACTGTGCAGTACTGTTTCCTGATGAAAGTGAGCCACTGGATGAGCTACATCAGTGTAACTGAAAGGCACAAGCTGCCCTTCAACTGAACCCCCACTGCCTCTTACTTCACAGAGCCTGACACTACTGCATACAGTGCAGTCTGTAAGTACATGTTGTTTTGGCTTTGTACTCCAGCACATTGTACTCAAGTGAAACAAGTGGCTTTTGGTCTAGACTGTCAGCTTCAAGTGTATTTGTATTCATATCAGCTGACATATTTCGGAATTACTGTTGTGTTACTTTAGGACTGCACTGTGTATCTGAAGATCATCTTAACAGATGAAAATGTATTTGCTATATTTGCTTCATGGCACAGAAATCTTCAAATCAGATGTCCTGATTAACAGCATTTGTTGATTTCTTTGTTTCCAAGTATGTATGCTTAGGAATTAGTGAACAGACAAAGGATCATGTCACACATTGTTTTCTGCCATGAAACAATTGGCTGTCAGAAGACTGCTTTGCTGGAAAATGTGCCATGATTCTGAAAGCACGTTTACTCATGGATTTGAAGGACTCTCAATATGAGTCTCAATGTGAACAGCATGACACACCATAACTTTTTTGGAAGATTGTTTACGATGGTGTAATTAGTTGTTCAGTGATCTTTTAATTTCTTGTATTACCGTATACCTCTTGTAATGCAGGAATGAATGGATTGAAAATTACAATTGGTACCAGATTCAGTTGCAGCAGATTCAGAATTCCATAATTAGGCCTTACCTCAAGTTTACAAGTCCTAATATTAGACAGTAATTTTCATGCAAATGAAAAACATTAAAGGAACGGATTTCTCTCTTCCAAAAAAAGAAAATCCATCCCGTTAGCGCCTTTTCTCTTCTAAGTAATTCCCTACCATGATTTGACTTTCTTGCAATCTGTTGCTCAGAATGCCTTTAGCACTAGCCAAGGAGTCAGGGATATCGACTTTTTGTCTTGGACGACCTTATCTTGTTTCCCTCAGGTGAGTTGTCACAAGGAGAGAGATGTGTATGGCTTTGCTGCTTCTTTGTTTTCCACCAGTGTTTGTCATTATTTGTCCTCTTGAAATGTTGTGTATTTCTGCAGTTCATGTGTGTCACAAATGAATTCAAACACAAATGCATGGTTATTTTTGTGGTTCGTATCACTGGGAAGGTTCAAGATAATATACTGAACATGCCAATAAATGCATTTTTGTACTATTGTTGCTAGTGATACTTTTACACTTTTAGCTAATGGAAGTGTCATATGAAGCTCTGTTTAGATTATAAATTAGTAATTCACATGTCATTTGCATGAAAGTTCATTGGTGTAAGAGACTGAGAGCATACACTACTTGTCCAAAAGTTTGAAGACAGCTGCTAATTCAACGTTTGTTTCAAAATCAAGGGTATTAATAGGCAGTCTGTCCTCCTCTTGTTACCTCATCTGGGAAGGCTTTATGCTAGATATTGAAACATTGCTGTAAGAATTTGAATGCGTTCAGCCACAAGAGCGTTAGTGATTTCAGGTACTGATTGTGGAAGATTAGTTCTGGAACACAAACAACACTCCAGCCCATCCCAGAAGTATTTAGTATTGCTCCACAGCCCAAAGAGTGGGGGGCTTTAAACACCTCTATCTGACTCTAGGCATTGGGCATGGTGACCTTAAGATCATTTGTGGCTGTTCAAGAGTGTCGCTTATTACTGAGGGTGCTTTTCAGTAGAGATTATACATTATCTGTGTAATGGCAATAGAACACCTATGTCAACAATGGGTGCACCTTGAAGTAGCCCTAAGGTCTTTCTGGATACTTTTGGACATATAGTGTATAGTAGCATGTCTTTTGTTTTGTCTTTGATCTTACTTATAAAACAAGCTAGAATGATTTAGGATTCTTTAAACAGCTTGTCTACCTGACAGTCAGCACTACTCTGGAGTAGACTGAAGTACCATAATGTGAATCTCATTGAGATGCTCGTCAAATAGCATTTGTAATGTTAAATTCATGAACGTCAGTGAGATATGTATGTTACTACTCATAATTTGTTTATGTTGCATATATTGTCCTGGATGGATACCAATGAAACAATACAATAAGTATGTGCGCAGGTGATCTTGCTGCTGAAAAATATAGATTGGCCTTTGAACTCAGAGGCAAATATTTTAGAATTTGACAGCCCATATGGACTTCATAAATGTAAAGCACTGTGCCAGCTGCTTCTGTACTACGGAGATTGACTTGTGATCTTTGGTTTTGCAGGAGGCCAGGCCCCAGTCAGATGAGTGTATAAGGGAGACCAATGGCCGCCCCTCACATGAAGCCCCCATGCGCAACCTGGACAGGGTGGGCCTGGGTGGCGGACCAGGTCTTTATAAGGTAGTGAAGACGGGACCCTCGGGTCACAACATCAGAAGCTGCCCAAACCTTAGAGGTATCCCCATTGGAATGTTAGTTCTGGGGAACAAAGTCAAGGCAGTAGGCGAGGTATGGACTCCCAGCTGTGTTCTTTTGGCTGCTAGTAGATAACTTAGTTCCCAGATTTCGTACTGTCTTGCCAGTGCTGCAGTCACTGCATCACGAGTTTCCTTTTCTTCTTTGTGTCCCTAAAAGATTAGACATTTACCTTTGTGTAACTTCCTCTTAAAGAGACAATGTATAATATGCCTCTGGTGTGGATGTGTGATCATTCTATGTATATTAAAATTCTCTCCTAAGTAACACGCATGGCTTCAGCTTTCAGCACTCTTATTAAATTTGTCTTATTACATCTATTTGGAATGGTCAGCGAATGATATGGTACATCTTGTGGACTCTACTGCTATGAGCAGTCTACTGTGGGCAGAAATAAATCTTACATACTGTGATTCCCATGAAATAAGCTTCTCAACAAAGCTGAAGTCATCACTTCAGTGACCTTCTCGGCCCACTCTGAGTGTTTCTTCCTTTAGCACATTTGAATGCTCTCCATGCTCTGCCATGGAGGTGGCGGAATGTGCCTCTTCCTTCTCAATCTCTCCTTAGAGGGTGTGGTGTGTCATGCTGTCCTTTGAATACCCCTCCTTTGAAACACTGGCTGTTTCTCAAGTGTGCACTTACAACTGCTTCACTAGTGTTCCCTTTAGCAGTCACATTGAAAATAGACCAATGTGCTGTGTGTTCGATCCAGTGCTTCAAACCTGTGTTCGTAGTAAATGACATGATACCAATTTAATCACATCAAATACATCAGCATTAATAATCCTAATGCATTTTATTTTCAGTTTCACTGTCATTTTATTCGCTGAGAAACCACTTTCACACGTTTTAATGGTCTTGTTTTTTGAGCTGTGGTTAGGAGTTAAGAAATAAGTTTTGTTCTCTGTATGTCAGGTAATTAACTCTGAAGGCACATGGGTGCAACTGGATAAGAATAGTGTGGTGGAGTTCTGTGAGAGCGATGAGGGAGAGGCCTGGTCTCTGGCCAGAGATAGAGGAGGAAACCAGTATCTGCGCCATGAAGAAGGTAACACCACACCCACAAAGAAAATAGAGTTTAGAAGGACAACCAATCTACTCAAAACAAGACACCCCAGTACAGAAAGCTGATGAAAAGGATCGTCATTCATTAAACTGGCTTTGTTTTTTTATAACAGAGCAAGTCATCCTGGAACATGGTGCTCAGACTCCTCCACCCAGCCCCTTCTCAGTGCAGGCCTTCAATAGAGCCGTAAGCAGTGGAGCCCAAGGATTTGATTATGGCATTTCCAACAACAAAGGTGAGCATAGAGAATCGTAGGAAGACAAGAAAATAAAGTTTATCCTTCCATTCTGCCTTGATAACACTGCATAACATAACCAGCATTTCTCCAAACCTTTGTATGTTCTGTCATGATATCTTCCTGGATGGTCTCATCATAATTTTATATATACATCATTTGAAAACTTATAACTCATCCCAAACGTATGTATTTGCATAAAGACCCGTGATTAAGTAATGTATAAACTCATTAACCAGTTTGCTTAAATCATATATATAAACTACCCACACGCTCAAGCTGTCAGGTTCTGTTTTGGACTAAGCTCTTTGCATCTTTCATCCTCTTCTTTGCATTTACCAAGAAACACCAATACTTCTCATCAGTGTTGTGTAGAGTAGTGAACTAAGTGATAGTATGTTGTATGCTTTTGCCTTTGTATTACCTGGATCTGTTCATTGCAGATTTAGTGCTGTTTTGAGAATGATTTAAGCTAAACATTGAGTGAGTGACCGAATGAGGAGAGATACAGTTATTACATTGCTTTATTGCCCTTTCTGTTTTTATTTGTTCATTTGTTTTAGTACACAAGGCATTACTTTAAGGGTCTTTCCCATTTCAAAACGCATTCCTGCAGAGTACAACGGAGTAACAGAGTAAACATGTGTTTTTTTTTGCTTTGTTTGTTTTTTTTTTCAATGTTGTTTTTACCTTACCTTTTATCATTTTTTAGTTTTTTTATCTTTTCTTCTTTAATTTCTTTATATTATTAATTTCCCAAAACCTTGACTGTAGGTTGTTAGAATTAAATTAGGCATGCCCAACTTCCAGCACTTCTGCAGGGTCTCAACACAGCACATGTAGTAAATCACACACTTGCTTGAACTCATAACTCAGTAACTCAGTAATTTGCCAACCATGATTTTGATATTTATTTTTTAAAATAATTATTTTATTCGGTTCCTCAACTGATCTACCGCATTTGCTGGGAAAAAAAATATTTTTTTTATGCTACAAAACTTGGACACAATTTCAAAGTACTGTTGGCTTTTTTACCCCAGGTAGATTTAAGTGAAATGAACAGTAAATGTGCTTTTACTGTCTGATAAATAGCTTCTAATTTTAGCATATCATATCATGTAACACCCTGATGCCACATGTTATTAAATTTGAAAAAAAATGGACCATTCTGGAGCGTTTTTTAATTAAGGAAGCAGAAATCACTGACAGATGATTCTGGAATAGTCGGTCTATCTTTTACCTGTGTTGTGCATGCTCATGTGTCATTGTGTGTCATGGCTAGCATCAGTGCCATGTATAACATGCATGGGCAAAACTCTGTGTGCTGCAGTCAGGTCTTACCAAGTTTTGCCCCATTGTCTCTTTCAGCTTCTGACTTGGTTTAAGGCCTGGCTCTTGCCATTCTTTCTTCGTTTACTGCTGCTGAGTGGTGCTCCCATAGACCCTTGCTGCATACTGTGGTGTCTTATGGGCTTTTCATCACTGCCTGATGCTTACAGTTGTTACCATTACAGTTCATGATGAGAGGCTAGTGATAGGACCAAAGTTAAACTAGACTGTTCCACCTGGTTAACACTTTTTTAAATTTATTCTGTCATATTTTAGCAAGAAATGTAAACGAGCTATGAACTGTATTTAACTTGGAAGTGATGAAAGAAATGTCAAGGCAATGTTGCCAAAGCCAGTGCCTTATCCATGGCCTGGTATGCTACACCTTAACCATCAGAGGTGTGGGATTTTAAATCCAACTTGCTGTCCCCGAACCCTTTACCTATTACCCCATAGTTCAACTGACCTACTGACACCCCTCTGTACTGCCAGTGAGTGTGTCTCTGTGGGCCGTTGATCAGACTAGCATTTTTTATGGTTCCTATCGAGGATCGTAAAAGCTATAGTCTTCCCCTTGTCTTCCACATTACAGGTGACCGGCTGAGTGCCATACTGAATTCCATTCAGTCTGGGCCTTTCCTCCCAGCTCCCTCCGTATTTGAGCAAGCTGCCAAACCTCCCTCTTCCCTTGCCCACAGCCCTTTTGTGTTTGGACAGTCCCTTTCCCAGCAGCCTCAGCCACAACCACAGCTTCTGAGTAAGTCTGTCTGTCTGTCTGACAGTGGTGGTGCTTGCTTGCCCAGGTGCTGCTTGTATTCTTATTCTTTTATTTACTGGTTTGGTTTCTTGTGCTCTGTTTAGGCTTAGGTCCCCTGCTCTTCAACCTGTCTTCCCCCATACTCGCTTGCTATATTTGCTATATCATCAAGTAACACTTTTCTTGTCCTCATCTTGTAACCATTTAAACCATTAGTCTCTATTAAATTTCTGCTGCTATTATATCAGCTTTTATTTTAAATGTTTGTTCACCTTATCACGTTATCATTTTATTTCATTTTTTTCTCTGATTTACAACATGTACTTTGTGATTCTTTCATTGTTTTACAAACAGCTTTTAAGAGGATGAGGTATTAGACTAAAACAGCTGAGAATATTTCAAAATACCCTCACTCACTCACTCTCTGTGGTACTAAATATGCAGCTATCTAGTAGAACTGTTTGAAAATACATATGTGAATCAGCTAAAATATACTAACTCAGTATGGGTCTGCATATATCAGTAGCTCTTCAACCAGCCATTATAGTCCCATGCGCACTCTCAGGAACAAATACCAGCATTACCCCCCCCACACCCCCCCACCCTCAATCCCCCTGGCACTTGGCCTTAGTGACTGCATTCTTCTTTCTCTCTCTCTCTCTCTCTCTCTCTCTCTCTCTCTCTCTCTCTCTCTCTCTCTCTCTCCCTCTCTCTCTCTCCCTCTCTCTCCCTCTCTCTCCCTTTTTTCTTCCTTCTCCTTCTTCCTTCTATTACATCTACCCTCTCTATGTCTGTCTTGCTCCTGTACTCTCTCTTTCTCTGATAGTTTTCTTTGGTTCAATCAAGCCTTGTTGCTTACTCTCCTTGCAACTGTTTTCCGCTGTAGATGCTTCATCACGCAGCCTTGCTTCACGTGAGCGTGTGCACAAAAGCAGTGTGACTGGGCCTGGCACCGCTCTCTCATCTCTTGCTCTCAGACAAAAGGGTGGGTAATGCATGCCTTTCCTGGGAGCACCCAGGAGACTCACTACTGGGATGGGATTCGTCTCATCCACTGCTCCATGATCTGTGTACTTTCCCTTAGGTGTGGGTATGGAGTATATAGCTCGTTAAATTTTGCAGCATTAGAGGTATTGGCAGAAATGCTCAGCTCTGGCAGGGTACACTCTAATGATTGCAGAAATACTTTTACGTCATTGTAACTTAGATTCACGAAGTTGACATGATTAAGTGTGAATTAATGAACTGGAAGGCTAGGGTTTCAGTGGATTATTGTCATGTTCCTCTCATTTCAGATTTTTTCATTCTTTCTGTCCTTCATGTTGTTTACAATCCTCCCCCCTCCTTTTTTAATTTTTAGGTTACATATTTTACTTTAATATATTGTATAGTTATTTTGTTACCCTGCCACACTGTGAAATTTCTAAAACCCTGAAAAGCCTGTACTTTGTGGGGTTCCTTCCCACACATGGTAATTGTATACTCTGGTAATCACTGGTGTGTTATGATATGTAGGTGAGAGAGGGAATGTGGCAGCTCGATCCTTGTCTCCTGCAAGCAAGCACCATCAGGAGAGTCGCTCACCCAAACTGGATAGCCGTTCCAACCGCACTACTGACCAGGGGAAGATCAAGACCATCGACAGCTTATCAGCCAGCGAGGCTCTCATCCTCAAGTCAGATACAGGCAAACTGCGTTCTGACTCCCACAGCCGCTCACACTCACCCAACCACAATACCCTACAAGCCCTAAAGGCCGATGGTAGGACCTCAGGCCTCCGTGCCGAGTCTCCAACCCCCAGTTCCCGCTCTTCCTCACCCAAACAGAAGACCCTCTCCTCAGGCAGGTCAAGTCCCTCTAGCATCGGTTCCCCACGCTCTTCCTCTCCACATGATAAGAACCTGCCACTGAAAGTCAGCCCCTCTTCGAAGGCCCGTCTAGACCCTCCACGTGAAAGATCAAAATCTGACTCCTACACACTGGATCCTGACACTTTAAGAAAGAAAAAGGTGCCCCTAACAGAGCCACTAAGAGGCAGGTCTACTTCCCCCAAACCAAAACTCCCACCCAAAGAGGGAAAAGGTGGAAGCAGCAATGCAGAAAATCGTGCCCCATCTCCCCATGTTGTCCAAGAGAACCTCCACAGTGAAGTGGTAGAACTGTGCACCTCCAGTGCCCTGCTGTCAAATGATGTCAGTGATGTCAGTGATGTCAATGATGAAAATGCAGAATTGCGCAATGCTGAAGAGGGCTCCTCCAAAGTACATTTCAGCATTGGAAAGGCTCCTGTCAAGGAGGAATTGGACAGTCGTTCCTCACCTAAAGTCAGCCGAAAGACCTCTAGCAGACATGTACGGCCGAAAAAGGACAAATCAGGTCCACTCTTTAAAGGGGAGAATGTGCGTCTCACTGAGCCTGCTAAACAGGCCATGTCACCTTCTGTGGCTGAATGTGCCCGAGCTGTCTTTGCAGCCTTCCTGTGGCATGAGGGCATTGTACATGATGCGATGGCCTGTTCCTCCTTCCTGAAGTTCAACCCTGAGCTCACCAAAGAGCATGCACCCATTCGCAGCTCACTCAGCTGCCAGCAGAGCCTAGATGAGAAAGAAAGCAAGCTGAAAAACCGTCACTCTCTGGAGATCTCATCTGCTCTCAACATGTTCAACATCTCACCTCATGGACCGGACATCTCTAAGATGGGAAGCATCAACAAAAACAAGGTTCTCTCCATGCTTAAAGAGCCACCATTGCCTGAGAAGTGTGAGGATGGGAAGGGTGAGCCTGTCTCCTATGAAATAACCAGCCACTCATCCATAAGATCGAAGTCTCTCTTGCCCCTTACGCTCCAACACCTGGTGGCTTTTTGGGAGGACATTTCTATGGCGACTATCAAAGCTGCTACACAGAACATGATCTTTCCTAGCCCTGGTTCCAGTGCCATTCTAAAAAAGAAGGAAAATGAGAAAGACAGCAAGAAAGCCAAGAAGGAGAAGAAGAAGAAAGAGAAAGCAGAGGTGCGTCCTAGAGGGAACCTCTTTGGGGAGATGGCGCAGTTGGCCATGGGAGGCCCAGAGAAAGACACCATTTGTGAGCTTTGTGGAGAGTCTCATCCATACCCTGTTACCTACCACATGAGGCAGGCCCATCCAGGTACAACAGCTGTTTTTTATTGAAAAGTCTTAGTGTACTACTGAATTTTGTAAAATTCGAAGTGTAAGTATATGTAGATGACATGGATTATGAGTGGTTTCCTTTGTACTCTTTCAGGCTGTGGACGTTATGCTGGTGGCCAGGGCTATAACAGTATTGGTCACTTCTGCGGTGGGTGGGCAGGGAACTGTGGAGATGGAGGCATAGGAGGGAGCACCTGGTATCTGGTTTGTGATCGCTGCAGAGAAAAGTATCTGAGAGAGAAACAAACTGCAGCCAGGGAAAAGGTAAAGCTTAGTTTCACAAGTGCTTATCTGTTTTTTACACACACACTTGCATACACACATCTTGTATGTTGCAAAAGTAGTTCTGTTTAATTCCTGACGGCTGTCAGAGGTAATGTGAAGCATGTGCATCTGCACATATTTTGGTATGTTATACCAATAACATGTAGGAGACAAAAATAATAATAATGATAAATAAAGATAAAAATGCAAATATCTAGCTCATACATGAGACATGCTCTTTCCTGTTCTCTTGGTGATACAGATTAAGATGTTATATTGCTTTCAAACAGTCTAGTGACATTGCCTGAGCTGCAGGACCCTACTGTGTCCTCCACTGGCTGAAAACAATTCATAAGTTTAAGTATCCTACTGCTGGTTGTGTAAGTAGCCCTGTGCTAGCACAGACTTGTTGGCTTGGGTCACCTGATTTGAATCCATGCTACTGTTCCCCAGATAGCTTGATAATAAGGTCGCTATTAGATATTGTTACTGGTGCAAGATGAGTGTTAAAGAACAAGACCCTGCTGTATCTTTTACTTCTACGGAGCTAACCATCAGTCTCCTTTCAGCCAAAGAGCTGTGACAGTTTCTCACGCTGTATATGGCCCATGGAAGGAAAATTGCATTCAAATTTTTAAGTAATCCAAGTTTTCCTTTCCTTCTTAAAATGTACATTTATCATCCCAAGAATATGGAAGGATTGTCTCTAGATGCACATCATTTGAACAGTGCATTCCTTCTATTTTTTGCCCTAGCCTAGAAGTCTGTCAAGTCTGAAAGAGCCACACGTTGCCTAAGAGAGTGCTGTGCATGCCAGGAAGTCCACATGGTACTAGGTTCTTCCTATGACCCAGTTCTTTTTATTTTATTTGTTTATATATTTTTATTTATTTTTTTGGGAGAGTCTTACCCCCTCAGTTTGTCAGTATATCAAGGTGGATTTTTCACTGAAAAGCAACATGCTTGTCTGCTGTCTGTTGTTCCCAGGCCAGGCATTGTGGCATTATGTGGACTTAAGTGCCAGCGTTTGCCAGACAGGAGGTAGTCTTTATGACCTACATGTGGATCTGGTTGGTATCTGACACCAGGATCGGTGTCTTGCCACCATGCCCAGAGCCTAATTGCATTCTCAGCAATGTTTCAATGATGAAAGTCAAAACTTTTTCTGATTATAATGTATCAGTGTGGCCTCCCTAAAGCCCTACTACACTAACTTGGTGAAATATATCCAGGCACCTGTTCTAATTCAGCTACTTTAAGGCGGAGCTGTTGCTGATACTGGCAGTCAGATGCACACACTCAGCTTGCGTAATTGCCATAGAAAAGCATTGCCACTAGAATGGGGTGCTCTGGAGCAGCCTTACATAAGCCAGAGGGCACCATACCCATGTCAAGCTTCGGCTAGAGGCATATAAACTCCACAGCATTGGGCTGCAAAACATTGGAGCTACATTCTTTGGAATGACAATATCAGTATCGTTGATTCAAGAAGAACCGCTAGATGAGGCCCACTCCACATGACTTTGTTAGCATTTATCATACTTCTCCAGCTATCAAGAGGAAAGAAATAGAACTTTAGTTTTAAAGGTAGCTGTGGTTGTATGAATACCAGATTACCACTAGAGTTGACAATCGCTCTGAATTGGCAAGGAGATTCCTGGAGGATGTCTAGTGAGCAGGGTATTTGTGTTACTGTCTACATTAAATGGAAAGTTTGTGTGTTAGGTGGATGATACCATGGTTACAGTCATAACAGTTATGTAACTTTGAAACTTTGCTTTCAGTTTGAAGTAATTGGTTCAGATTTAAGTGTATTTTTCATTTTTTTGGTGTAGGTGAAACAATCCAGGAAGAAGCCTCTGCAGGTGAAAACTCCTCGAGCACTTCCCACCATGGAGGCTCACCAGGTGATCCGTGCCAATGCCCTATTTCTGTTGTCCCTGAGCAGTGCAGCTGAACCCAGCCTGCTGTGCCACCACCCACCCAAACCCTTCCACCCACATCTGCCCAGCCTCAAGGAGGGTGTTTCTGAAGAGCTGCCCAACAAAATTGGCTGCCTGTATCTGCAGACCCTGGCCCGGTACATAGCACAGCCCTGTTATTACTGAGTCATATAACATTTCATATTTGCTCAAAAAATGTCATCTAACTTGAATTCTTTTATCTGTGAACGTTGATGTCAGTCAACAGTTGTATTCAAGCATCTGATGTGAGCTTGATCTCAGTGTCTTTTGTTGCAGTCAACATACTGAGAATTTTGGAGCATACCAGGATGAAAATCTGTTTCAAGATGAAATGCGCTACTTGAGATCGACTTCAGTTCCTGCTCCTTATATTTCTGTCACACCGGATGCTTGCCCTAATGTGTTTGAAGAGCCAGAGAGCAACATGAAGTCTATGCCACCTAGGTAGGAGCGCATAGTCCACTCTAAGTGATAGTTTTACTAACTGAGGCAGAGATGAGCTTTTCAAATAATCTGTTTCTCTCTCTTCACTCTTTGCTTTGGTAGTCTTGAGACCAGCCCAATCACAGACAGTGACACAGCCAAGCGGACAGTGTTCCAGCGCTCTTACTCTGTAGTAGCTTCTGAGTATGACAAGCAGCACTCGGCATCCCCTGCACGAGTGAAGGCAGTGCCCAGACGAAGGGTACACAGTGGAGACGCAGGTATGTTCTACTTGTATTTAATGGCACATCCACAATATTGTTGCCTCTGACTTACTAAATAAATATAACTTGGAGTTGTATGTTCTAATACGTCACAGAATTTTCTGATGTTCTATTAAAACTGCTGGAATAGTTCACCTGGGTGCTTTTCCCAGTCTACCACAGATACATTAACCTAATCCATTTAGCCCTCGTTTATGCTTCATGTTTCATGAAAGTTAGCAAGATACATTTTTATATAACAAAATGTATCTGTATTTTTTCGTGAGCAGTTATTTGGAGGTGCTCTGTCTCCTTCTACTTAAATTGGTTTAGTTGGTGGTAGGTGTATATAAGTCTAGATACTGCTTAGAAACATTCTCCTCGGATATTACTGGAGATTTAGTTTTAAGAGAACTTTTGTAACAAAGAGACCTCTATGTACAGAAGGTAATATGGCCCAGTATTTTTATACATCAGCCTTGTAAAACTATGGGAATTGCAGATTTGTGTTGTACTTAAAAGCATTTTGTTGGTAATCACCTGTTTGAAACTAATCCTAGCTCTCGCTCTAAAATGGTATAAAAGTATAAAAAAGTATAAAATTGAATTAGTTTGTTTAGGTCATGACTTTCTAGTAGTAAAAGTTTAGACTTTTTCAATATATTTGGAGATACACATATCAAGTCTTCAAACAGTATTGGTAGATAGGTGAAATGATTTAACAAGTGACACTTAGAATGAAAATTTTTGTCATTGTTTATATAACTGAAGTAAAGAATAATGCAATTTCCTTTGTAGAAAAAGTAAGTACACCCCTACATATATCACTGCTTTTGCTCTTTGTTATTGGAGTATGTGGTATCATCATGCTTGGATCAAGAGTTTAGATGTCTATGAGCCTGGAAAGGGGTTTGAAAAGATATCCAAAATATTGGAAATCAATCATTCCACTGTCTGAAAGATTATCTACAAGTGGAGGAAATTTAAAACTACTGCCAACTTGTCTAGGCCAGGCTGCCACAGGAAAGCAGACCGCAGACCATAAGATGCTAAAAGAGGTCTCCTAAAATTTGATCACTGGTCCTGCAGGTAGCTCTTGAATCCATTGTGAATTCTTTTGTGCCAGAGACTGCTTGAGGAGAATGCAAAAAAAAAGGTTGAAGAAATAGACCATCTAACAGGATAAGGATCATAAACATACAAGTAAATCCACTGAGGAATGGAAGAATTGGAAGGTCTTGAAAAGGCCTAGTCAAAGCCCAGATCTGAATCTCACTGAAATGCTGTGGGGGGTTGAAAGAATTTTGAATGGAGAAACAGGCAAAACATTCTCACAGTAGATGTCAGAAACTAGTAGACAGTTACAGGAAATGTCTACAAAAAGTTATTTCTGTCAAAGGGAGCAGTACTAGTTACTAAAGCCAGACAAAAAAGACATCTCGGTTTTTATTATTCTTTGGAATAATTGTTCATGAAGCCAAATTTCCATTGTTTTTTGTTCTATTGCATAATGTTTATCTGTACATACTTTTTAACTGGCGATGTCCACGTATGTCCAAAAAAATATGAACATGTCATAGGGTGTACTTACTTCCTCAAATGACCTATAGATGTTCCTATGAAGCAAGTGCTCTGTATTCTTCTTCTGTTTTAGAAGTGGGCTCCTCACTTTTGCGGCATCCTTCTCCTGAGCTGTCTCGTCTAATCTCAGCTCATGGCTCCCTGAGTAAGGGGGAGAGAAATTTTCAGTGGCCTGTGCTTGCCTTTGTCATTCAACACCATGATTTGGAGGGCCTAGAAGTGGCCATGAAGCATGCTCTGCGCAAATCTGCCTGCAGAGTGTTTGCTATGGAGGTTAGTGATAACTGGTCACATACTCTACCTGGTAGTGATACCTGTTTCATGTTCTCATCAGAGTATATCCTTATTCATGTCTTTGCGCTATACAATCCCTATTTCATAATGAAGATCCTCCTTTTCCTTTGTCAGGCTTTTAACTGGCTGCTATGCAACGTGATTCAGACCACGTCTCTCCATGATATCCTCTGGCATTTTGTGGCTTCTCTCACCCCATCTCCCTGTGAACCAGAGGAGGAGGAGGAAGAGGACAACAAAGGGAACAAAGAAATTGTGGAGCAGGTGTGTGGCAATTTGTTAATTTTGTGAATTAACAACATACTGTATGATTGCTTTTACAGTAATTTTAACAGATGTGTCCAGTTAAGGACACTGCTTTTGTTTTCTGTCTGTTTTGAGAGTATTGAGCAGGGATTTGTTACCTTTGAATGCTGTCTGATCTGTTGTTTTGCAGGAGAAAGATTTGGGTGTGTGTGAGCATCCGCTCTCTGATATTGTTATTGCTGGAGAGGCCGCTCACCCGCTGCCCCATACCTTCCATCGACTCCTTCAGACCATCTCTGACCTGATGATGTCACTACCCAGTGGAAGCTCTCTCCAACAAATGGCCCTCAGGTAATTAATCCTCTGTGAAACACATGCCTCTATGGGCACCTATATGTTACATGCAACTGTGAAATCTGTCTTGTAACTGATATTTTTGCTTGCAATAGGTGTTGGAGTCTCAAATTCAAACAGTCAGACCACCAGTTTCTGCATCAGAGTAACGTGTTCCATCATATCAACAACATCTTGTCCAAATCGGATGATGGGGATAGCGAGGAGAGCTTTAACATCAGTGTGCAGTCAGGATATGAAGCCATCAACCAGGTTTTAATTACATTTTTCAGTAGTCAAACTCATTGCTCCTTTAAACAGCCAAACCAGTCTGGGTAGTGTATAACATCAGCCTTGCAGAAACACTTTTAACTCATAAAATATTGAAATTCAGATCAAAACTTAAAATACTTTTACTATTACCACATTAGCAGTATATTTTTCATGCACATTTTGAAATAATTCTTTGAACGCAGGAGCTGTGCGTGGTAACCTGTTTGAAGGACTTGACCAGTGTAGTAGATATAAAAACATCCAGCCGACCAGCTATGATTGGCAGCCTAACAGATGGATCTACTGAGACTTTTTGGGAGTCAGGGGATGAGGACAAGAACAAGACCAAGAGCATCACCATCAGCTGTGTGAAAGGCATCAATGCTTCTTACGTGTCTGTACATGTGGACAACTCCCGTGACATTGGGGTGAGTCTGAGACTGGGGATCGTGTTTTATAGTTATTATCATTTTGTAGATCATGTGATTGTTCAGTTAATTAACACTTGCATGCAGATTCATGTTGTGCTGCTTCTGCTTTTTCTGATCCATTAGAACAAAGTCACATCGATGACATTTCTATGTGGAAAGGCAGTGGAAGACCTCTGCAGGATCAAACAGGTATGTCATTCAAATGTCACATTAAACTCTGAATATTAAACAATCATCAGTAATATGGTTGAAGATTCAATGGGAAAAGCAATCAATTAAGTCTATGTGGACATTTCAATCATGTGTCCGGATACCAAGTTACTATTGATTTCCGTGGCCTTTTTATTTAGTGATCTCTTTGTTGTCGTAGATCGACTTGGACTCAAGGCACATGGGATGGGTGACCAGTGAGTTGCCTGGAGGAGACCACCATGTGATCAAGATTGAGATGAAGGGCCCTGAGAACACTCTGAGGGTGAGGCAAGTCAAAGTGCTTGGCTGGAAGGAGGGTGAGAGCATCAAGATAGCTGGACAAATCTCTGCCAGCGTGGCCCAGCAAAAGAACTGTGAAGCAGAGACCCTGCGCGTGTTCCGCCTAATCACCTCACAGGTTAGTGTGTCTTTAGATCAAGGTTGTGGAACTGAGGGTCAGAGTCTGGCACAGTTTGGTGATTTCCCTGCTCTAGCACACCAACCACAACTGCTGAAGTTCCCCACCCATACTTTTAGATGCTGTAATCCAGTTTTTTTTTTTTGAGGTTGTTTGAGGTTTTTTTTTTGTTTTTGTTGTTTATTTGTAAAGTCAAGTTTTTAAAGAAGGATATGGGCCAGAAATGACCTCTTTTAACTTTCTACATGACACAGAAGATGATGGCAATAATGCTTACTTATTTTCCTACACTCCTTTGAATATTGTGGGTAGTGATACATTCTGGTACATCGCTTTCCACATTACTCTTTCTCACCTACGTGTGCAAAAACATATGTCATTGAAGCTAGTAAGCCAGAATGCAAGTTATCATGTTGATAGATAAATAATGTTTTTGATGCAAAAAGGATTTGTCAGTATGTTTTAAATACTCATTCATAATGCACACAATAACTTGAGACCATTTTGAATTTAAACTTGTTCTGAGCCCTGTTGAAACATAAGGAGACACTTTCATTGCTGTAAATTGTTTGAGAATAAATTTAGAATAAATTTAAAGAAATTGTTTTAGAATAAATGTGGCTTTTCATTTCCTTTAAATTAAAGCTGTTTATGACCAGTACGCTAAAATTAAACTTCTTACTTGCACTTAAAATAGTTCCTATCATTTGTGTAGGTGTTTGGGAAGCTGATTTGTGGAGATGCTGAACCTACTCCAGAGCAGGAGGAGAAGAACCTTCTGTCATCTCCTGAGGGTGAAGACAAGGTCAGTGCCAGAGTAATCACATAATCACAAGAACCATAATCACAAGAACTAATCTAATAGACAAAGGCCAATCATGTGTTTATTGAAGATAATTGCTTTTATTACTAATTTCTTGTCAGGCACCATCTGATGCTGACTTGAAAGAACACATGGTTGGCATCATCTTCAGCAGGAGCAAGCTCACTAATCTACAGAAGCAGGTACAATATTGTGATAAATTAGTGTCTTGCTATTATACCACAAAGTCAGAAAATGCTAAATCTCATCCACGTTTTTTAATCCTCATTAATCCTTATTTTGTCCCCAGGTGTGTGCCCACATTGTGCAGGCCATTCGCATGGAGGCTACACGTGTGCGGGAGGAGTGGGAACATGCCATCTCCAGTAAGGAGAATGCCAACTCCCAGCCTAGTGATGATGACGCCTCCTCAGATGCATACTGTTTTGAATTGCTATCAATGGTGCTTGCCCTGAGTGGGTCCAATGTGGGTAGGCAGTATTTGGCTCAACAACTCACCCTACTACAGGATCTCTTCTCCCTCCTCCATACGGCTTCACCACGTGTCCAAAGACAGGTGTGTCTAAGTCTGTGTGTATAATACGCACTCTTCTTCTTTTCTCTCACATGTGACTATCACAGTCTTAGCTAGCTTTAGGATTAATGGCCCTGCACTCCACACAGGTGACCTCATTGCTCAGACGTGTGCTTCCTGAAGTGACTCCTGTGCGGTTAGCCAGTGTAATTGGAGTGAAGGCCTTGCCCCCAGCAGATATCAGTGACATCATCCATTCTACGGAGAAAGGAGACTGGAACAAGCTAGGAATCCTGGACATGTTCCTGGGCTGCATTGCTAAGGCCCTCACCGTACAGCTGAAGGCAAAGGGCACCACCATTGTGGGTACAGCTGGTATGGCAGCAGGCAAAGGTGTAACAACAGTTACATTGCCTATGATTTTCAACTCAAGGTAAGCTTGCACTGATTTGCTACAGTAATCTGAAAAAAAAAAATTTACTTCAGATTCATGAAATGAGCCTACACGTGAAAGATTGAGCTTGGTCTATGCTTCAGCATGCTCATTTGTCCCTTTTTCCCTTTCTTTTTTTTGTGTAGTTACATCCGGCGAGGGGAAAGTCACTGGTGGATGAAGGGCTCAACCCCACCTCAGATTGCAGAGATCATCATTAAGCTGGTTAAAGATATGGCTGCTGTTAGTATTCAGTCTCAATTTTTGTTTCCACACCTCTCAATTCCTGTTCATGGTTTTGTAGTGGTTTTGGAGGAAGGTAGACCCACCATTTCTTCTATGCAGGGCCATCTCTCAGATGCCTGGTCCAGAGTGACCAAGAACGCTATTGCTGAGACCATTATTGCTCTCACTAAGATGGAGGAGGAGCATCGCTCACCAGTGCGCTGCATTGCTACCACGCGGGTATGACTAAGCTTTTCATTACTCAGTCCCTTCTGTTTCTTTTGAGCACAGGTCAGCTTAGTGAGTGCTCTTCAGCAAATCTGGCCACTGAGCTGTCAAGTGTGGGTTGGGTGGAGTGTACTGTTCAAATGTCCTTTTAAAACAGACTTTAATAGCAATCCCAAATAGCATTTACATATAAAATCAGAAGCCCTCATTTACAGCAGATATAGAATTTTAAACATGAAAAGAGACCAGTATCCAGGTTATTCTTTTTGTATTTGTTCTGTTTTTTAAGTGAATATAATTAAACATTTTATGGAGATGGTCAGTTGAAGTGTAATAAAAGAATGTTATTCTACTACAGAGCAAATTATTTTTAAAATGGGTTAAGCTAAATGTAATGTATTTATATGATTTCTTCACAGCTTTGGCTGGCTCTTGCTTCTCTGTGTGTGCTGGATCAGGACCATGTGGACCGACTGTCCTCAGGCCGCTGGATGGGCAAAGACGGCCAGCAAAAACAGATGGTACAGCATACAGTCTCTAACAGGCCCCTGTGGACACAATAAAGAGCCATAAATACACAGTTACCTCATAGGCCTACTGCCGAAAACTGGCTCTTTACCTTCTTTTGCGTTTGTTCACAGCCTATGTGTGATAACCATGATGACGGAGAGACTGCAGCCATCATCCTGTGTAATGTGTGTGGAAACCTGTGCACTGACTGTGACCGCTTCCTCCACTTGCACCGCCGGACACGCTCCCATCAACGACAGGTATGCTCCCGTTCATGCAACTGTTACATGATATGGGCAGAATAACAAATTGTGATTATTTTTACATTTTGTGATGGTGAATTGCAACTTATTAAACAATATATTGCAATATATTAAACACCTTGGTGCTTTCTCAAACATATTACCATAATTGAATCATGTGATTCATCAAAACACCCACAGAATATCACCCATCAGGAACATGAGTGATTGGTCAGGATGCTTACAGCAAACAATAAACAAACTCTAATTTGCATATTGCAAAGGCCAGTATTGTCATAATGATTATCAAGCGATATATGCAAGCCTAATTCACGGTGAGTGGGATACATCATGAAACCTGCTCAACAATATATTGCTCTTGTTGCTGTTTGCAGGTTTTTAAGGAGGAAGAGGAGGCCATAAAGGTTGACCTGCATGAGGGCTGTGGAAGGACCAAACTCTTCTGGCTCATGGCACTGGCTGACTCCAAGACCATGAAGGCCATGGTGGAATTTAGAGAACACACAGGTGAGGCGAGCTTACACTCTGTGCTGGTGAAAATGTCTTCTGCTGTATTCTTAGGAAGTGGATTGTTTATGGACACTGTTTGGATGATATAAAATTGACTAAACTATTATCGTCTGCAGAATTACCATGATGAATGATATTATTGTGATCCTAATTCAGTTACGAAACACCTGTGACCATTACATATCCTTACACTATAGCTTGCATTTTTCCTCATGGTAATGTAATTGTTGGAAAATTAACTCCAGCTTCGTCAGTTCGGTTCGTTTTTTGGAAACCAAACTGCTGCACCCTTCTGAACAAATTCATACATTTACTCATTATTGGAGAGTATTAGCATTAGCATGTATTAGCATTTCTTTGTTGCATGTACTTCAGCATTTGTTGCCAATTATACATTTTCCAAACTTTTCCAACTGGCATTTAAAGAAAATGCGTGTAGTTAATTAGCTGTTCATGTTATGTTTGTATAGCCTCTAGAGAAAGAACAATAAGCTGCAGAATATCAGCACTTAATTTAAAAGGATTGCGATGTTCGATAATATCAGTTTTTCATCCCAATTCTAAGGGACACTCTTTTTATCCATCCTTATGGCCATAAATCCCCTTGTCTCTCAGGTAAACCTGCTTCAAGCAGTTCAGATGCCTGCCGCTTTTGTGGAACCAGGAATGGCACGGAGTTGTCTGCAGTGGGAAGTGTGTGCTCAGACCCAGACTGTCAGGTACAAAGCTTTCCCTGTCCTAGAATATATGCACCATATTGTAGAACTACTGTGTCTATTTGAAATTTAATAAATGCAGCAAGAGGGCTATCTGTTATTGTAATGTGACCACAGTGACACATTGTTATGCTCTGTGTGTGTGTGTGTGTGTGTGTAGGAGTATGCAAAACTGGCCTGCAGTAAGACCCATGCGTGTGGTCACCCTTGTGGTGGGGTGAAGAATGAAGAGCTGTGTTTGCCCTGTCTTCATGGCTGTGACAAGAGCACTGGCTGTCTCAAACAAGATGCTGATGATATGTGCATGATCTGTTTCACTGAGGCTCTGTCTGCTGCCCCTGCCATCCAGGTATATGTTGTGAAGAAAAACTGTAATTGTGGCCACAGGACAAACAGTTGGCATATTATTCATTATAAGGTCATAACTGTTCTGTAGGTCTGACATGTCTTTGTCTGTTCTTAGCTGGATTGCAGCCATGTGTTCCATCTCCAGTGCACACGCAGAGTCCTGGAGAATCGTTGGCTTGGGCCCAGGATAACCTTTGGGTTCATGTCGTGTCCTATCTGTAAGGTATGTAATCTCATTTGTACTTTTAAAAGAGCTACAAACCAAAAGCTGCTAAATCAAGCAAAAGTTCAATGTTTTCTTTAGAGTACATGTACTTTGGTATCTTTGGTAACACTCATGATTTTTTTTTTTCTTGGAATCTTTTGTCTGTTCTAGAACAAAATTAACCACTCAGTGATCAAAGATCTCCTGGATCCCATTAAAGAGCTGTATGATGATGTGAGGAGAAAAGCTTTAATGAGACTGGAATATGAGGGCCTACACAAGAGTGAAGCCATTACAACGCCTGGAGCCCGCTTTTACAATGACCCTGCTGGATTCGCTATGAATAGATACGCTTATTATGTGTGCTACAAGTGCAAAAAGGTTAGCTCATAGGGTTCCAGACATTTTTAATTTATACATTGAAATTAGTATTTAATGGTAAATATATAATCTAGTCTTTTTAGTTCATATGTCATATCTATTAAATATATATTGTACTTGATATGCCAGTACTGTTTCTGATCTTGTTTTGCACTTTCAGAATTCCGTAAAGCCTTGTATAAAGTAAAGCAGAACCTTAAATGATATGAAAGTAGCACTAATCCGATCAGTTTACGTTAGTATGCAAGAAATTACCCACCGGCTATAGTGTTTTTTGGCTAAAAGTATGAGTTAAATGCTAAATTCTGCAGGCCTATTTTGGGGGAGAGGCACGCTGTGATGCAGAGGCAGGACAAGGCGATGACTATGACCCCAGCGAGCTCATCTGTGGAGCATGCTCAGATGTGTCCAGAGCACAGGTTAGTAAAAAGGAATGGTGTGTTCTGAAAAATGCCAAATAGAAACATTCTTTAATATATATGATGACATGATTTTATATATGTATATATGTGTATATACAACATTCTATATAAAACACTCACCATGCACTTTATTAGGAACACCTGTACGCCTATTTATTTATGCAAGTGCAGGGCATGAAATTATGGAGATACAGGCCAGCAGCTTCAGGTAAAGTTCACATGAACCATCAGAATGGCCAGACTGGTTCAACCTGACAGAAAGGCTCAGTAATTCAGGTAACCACTCAGGTACAATTGTGGTGAGCAGAAAAAGCATCTCAGAATGCACGTTAAATCTTGAGGGCTACAACAGCAGAACACCACATGGTTCCACTTCTGTCAGCCAAGAACAGAAGGCTGAAGCTACGGTGGGCACAGGCTCACCAAAATTGGACAGTTGAAGACTGGAGAAATGTAGCCTGGTTTGATGAATCTGGATTTCTGCTGAGGCACACAGTTGGTAGGGTCAGAATTTGGTGCCAACAGAATGAATCCATGGACCCAACCAGCCTTGTCAATAGTCCAGGCTGGTGGAGGTGGTGTAATGGTGGGGGGATTTTTGGATTTGGATTGGATTTGTTTGTTCCAACAGCAACGATGTATATAATCATGCTATTTATAATATGTACTGTTTTATTTGTATAGAGAATAAACAGTTATCTTCATATTTAAAAGAGTCTTGTCTCTTTTTTGCAGATGTGCTCTAAACATGGAACAGACTTCCTTGAGTACAAATGCCGTTACTGCTGTTCTGTTGCTGTGTTCTTTTGCTTTGGGACCACACACTTCTGCAACGCTTGCCATGATGACTTCCAGAGAATGACCAGTGTCCCCAAAGAAGAGCTGCCTCATTGTCCAGCTGGTAAACGTTTTTCTGTAAAAATGCGCTGTGTAACGTTATTTTAAATTAATTTAAACCAGCTCGCAGTCTAAGCACCATGACTGACATATTTACTTTTCTTGACAGGTCCTAAGGGTAAACAGCTGGAGGGAAGTGAGTGTCCCCTGCATGTTGTGCATCCTCCCACTGGAGAGGAGTTTGCCCTCGGTTGTGGCGTGTGCAGAAATGCCCATACCTTCTGAACTGCTGGACCCTGTCTTACTCCCTCTTTGAGTCCCTGTTTTACTTGTCCTGCTAAAACAGCAGAGTCCTGCTTAAGTCCAGTCTGAGAGTACTTACCCTGGATGTCTGGCTAAGAGGAGGCACTGATAAGCCACTGTGCTTCAGGATTCAGTTTCTCTCTCTATCTCTCAATGGACGCTGAAGAATATAGGAAATTAAAAGAAAAAAAATATGGAAAAAACTTTGTGACGTGTTTGCATGCAGCCGTTGTAACCCTCGGCTCCCATAAACGTTGCACACCACCCGATCACTGAAGTGTAACAATATGTAAACTGACTCTTTTCGTAATCCTGTACAGTATTCTCCACTATTGAGTGCATCATTGCTTGGCAGAAAAGATTCTGGTAAGATTATATAAGTGGACTGTCAAGAATGTTATGTTGGGAGGAAAATAGTGTACGATTTATCTAATCTTGTATATAATGATAGTATCCAAAATAGGTGTATTCAGATGTTGCTACTTTACACTTCAGTTTTGTTTGATATTCTGGGTTTTGTTTTGAGCCAGAACTTTTAATGAAGTGCAATACTGGGTGTGCCTCCTATCTTGCAGCTGTAAACATATGGAATGTATGTCAATAAAAGCCACTGTACATTTTTATACAGTGATACACGCCATTGTTTTCCCTCTGCAAATATAACAAATATCATCTCTGTGCTCAGAAAACTTTGATGGGCCTACGTCTGACGTGTCCCTTTCAGCTCCACAATGTTATAATGTGGTACAAACCCTTTTTCTGTCTTTTTAAAAACGTTAAAAGGTGAGTATGTTCTACCATCGTGTTGTAAGAACAGAACACAGAAATCTTTGGGCTGGGGTCAGTCTTCACACCAAAAAAAAAAAAAGAAAAAAATGGAAATTGTGAATCATTTTTTGGAAGTGTGAGAATGTGTGGAAGTGTGATGAACAGCTGCTGTAAAAGAAAAAAATGCTACTTGTAAATCTGCTCTGTATTATCTGTGGTGGATAGAGTTGGACGGTAATAAACCAGATTCTCTGTTCTGCAAGGTACATTACAAAGGTGTCGTGTTTTTTTTTTTGTTTTTTTTTCTCCTGACAGAGCTGTCCTTAGCTATTAATGTGTAAGGTATAACAGTATGGTAATAGGTGTCTGTACTAAGGCTTACTAAAAAAGAATTCCTGCAAAAGTCAGTCATTAAAATGTGCACATTATTTTGAGTGGTTCTGATGTGCAATACTCCATTGTGGAGAAACACACAGTAGTGGTTATAGCAACCAGACATCCGAGGAGTTTCACGCAGTTATTGCATGAATTGTCTGATGTGTGAGACATCGTTTTACTGTAGTTTTGAGATGGTTTTGGCCTAAAACATTTTTTTATTTATAGTTATGATAAAGAGGTACATGTAAAACAGTACCCTTTTTTACCACAATTTCAAAATAATCAATGTTTTGTGTAGGTTCACTGGTGACCTATTTAAGGATGGCTAAAAACAAAATGGGTACCCTAAGAGTGCTCCTCCAGAAAACTTCTATACATTGACACACAGTATCCTAAGGTCACTGAGGGTATAGTACATCTCATCTCTGTTGCATGTTTAAGAAATATTAGACAGTTATAATAAAAGATTCACTTATATTTATTGACACAACTAGGGAAATATGATGAGATGGACACCTTTTGACCAGAATGACATCTGATAACAAAAACTGCAACACTTTAAACCATGTTGATGTTTCAGAAGGAGAGGCAGCAGACTTTAAGCATTGGGAAATTGCCCAGCAAGTGCAATTTCTATTGGTAACATAACTGTAGTGGACTGTCATGAATTCAAGTAAGGCATCACTACCTGCAATTGTAGATGAAGTGCATTGCCTCTTGAATGTTGATAAAGGAGCCAGAGGTCGGAAAGTTGTTTTACATGTACAGGAGTAGAAGTTACAACATCATGTAGATGTAGATGTAAGGAACCACACAAAACACATTTCAACTTGCTATACAAGGGGTAAATTTAGGTGAATTTAAAAAGTTCCTTTCACGTAAGTATATATCAACTATATACAAGACTACGATGTGAAGAGAAGTAATTTGAAAAACGTAAGGAAACTGGATGAGATGCTGCTTAATTGCTAGAATTAAAAGCTGAACATCTTGAATTTGATTCTGTTTTCCTTTTCACTGCATAGTTGTTCAGTATATGTTTCGAGAAAGCTCAAGAAGGCAGACGTGTTGAGGGATTTCTTCTTGAAATCTGATTCAGGCTTCTGAGTGTACTGTATTGTTTAATGTTCTCCTTGGGGTTAGGTCAGCGTGTTACAAGAGGCTTTCTTAATTTCCGTGCAGCACTGAGGAACGTTTTTCTTTTGTGTGATTTGGTATTTTTCCAAATTCAAGCTGAACAACTAAACAATGCAACACACTTTTCTAAAATTTTGAGGACCATATCGTGTCATGGAGAACGCCTCTTGCTGTTTACTACTTTAGTAAATCAATCATTAATCATAAATCAATCAAAATGTAATAAAGCAATCAATGACATGGCAAATTTTACATGAGCCTAATGAAAATGACTCTCACATCCTGTACTTTTGTCTACTCTTTCCGAAGTCTGTGCACATCACTGGGTCTGCTATTTTTAGAGCATGTAGTCTATTGGATTAGTTCTGTGTCTGTTAAAATATAACAAACAAAATCTATACGTCAAACATTAAAAGATGCGTTTGTGTTTTACTTATTTATTTATTCATTTATTATTTTTATTAGCCTGTGTCAAACTGAATGCCTTCCACTAAAATGTGTTTAATTAACCAATACTGCCATAAACTTTAAGCCTTGCCTGAAGCCCATTAAATATCTTGGTGGAAGGTATACAGGCATATGGAACATTAAAAATCTGAGACTTTGTCTTGCCTCAAACCTGTAGCAGGTTTAGTGGCAGATGTGTGATTTCTAAATGATACAGCAATTGCGTTACGTTTAAACTGTCAGTAATTAAATGCAAATGATACATAGCAATGGAGTTTATTATAAACATAGGCAGTCGCAGGTTGCGGTTTGTTGGGCTTCTTTCTAAAGTATAGTTATTATTTGGGGCTGCTCCCTGACTCCTGTTTCTCTCCACTATACCTGTCTGGTAAAGCCAAACTGCTAGTTTGTAAGTTACACATTCCCTCCACAGCCCCTTTCTCTTCTCCTGGTCGACCATTTAAAGGCAATGATTCATTAAGTGGGAAATGCTTGCACGTCATGCAGATCTTGTTCAACATGCCAGCACTAATTAACATGTAAGAAACGCAGAACCGTTCTCCTTAATGAGGCTTAGCTTTTTTCCCATACATATTAATTGAGATAGCCAGTAGGCCTCGTTACATGCAACGTCTTACCTTCATTTTCATTCATTCATTATGGGCAGTTGGTTTTGGTAAGAGTTAAAAAAAAAGTAAAATTACAGTATTTATGAAATGGTTATTTATGAAATGCAAAATAAATTCACACACACACACACATATATATATATATATATATATATATATATATATATATATATATATATATATGTGTGTGTGTGTGTGTGTGTATATATATATATATATTCACTTATTACGATTCTCTCGCGAGATCTGACAACACTGATCCTAGAAAAAAGAAATTTCGCGATCGGGGGCAGCAGCAGCAAATCTCCAGCGGCTGAGCGCAGGAATTAGGTCAGGCGGTCACAGACGCGCAGGAACGGGCTCCGAGCTAAACAACACATCCACATAGCAGTTAAGAGCGTCCGGTCAGTTTTCTGGCTTCCAATGCGGCAGATCTCGCCTGTTCGGATGTTTTGGGGTGATGGTCCAGGCTGACAGCGCAGTGACTGATTTTCACTGTTTCAGCTTCAGCGAGCTCAACTGAGTATAAACATAAAGCAGGTAAGTTAGCATTGAGTCGTGGATTCAGCTACAGGACGGAAGGGCTAATGACGCTATTATTGGGGAAGAGAGTAAACATTAGTCTCGCTGTTACACGGCAGAGCAGTGCTGAAAAATAAGTAAATATTTGCTCAGTAAGTAGCAAGCTAAATTAATTATGTATTTAGCTACGTTTAATATATATGAAAGGTAACTACGCTACTAATGGTTTCTCTGCTGAGCTGCTATGTAGCCCAACCGCGCAGCTTAGCTACTTGCAGCCCGTGTGGTCGTGCAGTATGTGCACATAACTTGCTAGGTTAGCTAGTCTAGCTAGCTAACTAATAAAGCCAGTGCTGTGAATAAAGAAGTGAAAAGCCAGTCAGTCTAGTTTACCTATATAAATAAATAGTTACACATTGATTAAACTTATTACCTATTTAGCAAGTGAAATGCAAATTGCAGCTTAACGTGGTCTGTAAAGTTCTTGCCTGTTCAGCCTGTTTATTAATCGGCGACCTCGATTTGCCTCCTAATTAGCGTAGCTAGCTTTTGATTTGAGAACAAAATTAGTTAACTTGGCTACATAACCAAGTCCCCACCGAGAAATCCATATAAGTAGCCGCCGATATTAGACTAATATCGATAGATTAGTAGTCTTTTAGACAAAGTAAGTAGTCATATAGAATCATTACAACTCAGAAGAACTGCTATTTGAATGCTTAAGAGGTTCTTCACCTTGTTCAATGTAGAGATGGAGACTGATTTATTTTCCCATACCAGTACCAATATTGAGACCTTCAGCGTTGGCCAGTACTGATCTGACATTTAAAAAAAAGCTTTAAAATGAGCCTCATCAACATGACATGGCAATGAGTGTGTATGTCAGTGTAGATTTGTTTCAGGATAGGATTGGATTCATCCTTTTTCACTCCGACATCCGATACCAACATTTTCTGCTGATGCTGGGCTGACATTCACATCTGGTTTCTGATCGGTGCAATCTCTAGTTGAATGGTTGTTCTCCATGATGGAAAACCTGTTGTGTGTGTGTATAGTTACTTTAAAGAAAGTGGTTCTATAAAGCATCAAAAAAAAATGATGCATATGAGGGTGTGGTGTGGCTATGTATTAAAATGTAACAGCTCTTAATAATTGCAATTATCAGACAACAGCTCATGTTAATTCTGCATTGTCTTGCAGTTTGTCCTGTGAAATAAGTCTTTATTGCTATTCTTGTTTCACCTAAGAATGAAAAGAAGACTGAGCAAGGACATAGAGGGCAGCAGCTCATCCTGTGAAGAACTGATGGAGGTTTGCAAGAGAGCTAGACATCCTAGTGAGGACTCTGGAGATCTGGCATCCAACTGGGCATGGTTACACCAGGAGGTACTGCTGCGCATCTTTCAGTACTTGCCACTGCTAGATCGAGCCTTTGCGTCTCAGGTGTGTCGTGGTTGGAACCAAGCCTTTCATATGCCTGAGCTCTGGAGATGCTTTGAATTTGAACTTACCCAGCCAGCAAGCTCTTACCTAAAGGCCACCCATCCTGATCTTATCAAGCAGATCATCAAGAGGCACTCAAATCATTTGCAGTATGTCAGCTTCAAGGTGAGGTGCTTGTCAGATAGTTTGTTTTATTCTGACTCAGTTTCTCGATTTTTACAGTTGCAGACTTGCAAACCTGAGGAAAGAGGAAATTGCCAGATTGTATGTTTGTTTTAGTAGATTAGTTGGTGTAATGTTGCCTTGTGATGTTTGTTTCTTGCATTATTTAAAATGATGGAGTGTTCCTCTTTAGGTGGACAGTAGTACAGAATCAGCAGAGGCAGCATGTGACATCCTCTCTCAACTAGTAAACTGCTCACTAAAGACCCTCGGGCTCATTTCTACAGCACGGCCGAGCTTCATGGAGTTACCAAAGGTAAGATGATGTCAAAGAAAAAAAAAATACTCTTAGAACACTGACTGCATGTGTAATTACTTTTCTTTTAATACCCCCCAGTCCCATTTCATCTCTGCGCTGACAGTGGTGTTCGTCAACTCTAAGTCCCTGTCATCACTCAAGATTGATGATACGCCAGTTGATGACCCATCACTTAAGGTCCTGGTGGCCAACAACAGCGACACACTCAAACTGTTAAAGATGAGCAGTTGCCCACATGTTTCCCCTGCTGGTATGTCTTATTTTCATGGTTTGGATATATTTTTATATCAAATTTTAATTACCTAAAATAATGAAAAGTTTCTAATATTGGTGCTATAAGGACAAGATGTGAAATACAGGGGGTTGGGGGGGGGTTCTGGGACCCCCTAAGTAACCTGTTGGACCCTCTGAAAGTCTCAAAATCAAAATACTGGGGGGTCCCTGAAATAATCTTATGACATTATGCTAAATTTATGCAAATTTAGGCCAAGGTCATTGCCGCTCTGCCCACAATCAGTGAGCTTCTGTCTATGGTATTCCTTATTAACTAGTGAGGCAGCACGGATCTGCCTCAGGATGGTGCTGTAGCAAATTGGTTCACCTAGTTGGTCCTTCATAGCCTAGCAACTGTAACTACTTCTGGAACATCTCTGAAAAACTTTAGAGTATGCTGCGGCATACTTGTAAATCTGAAAACTTGCCCAGTTTCTCAAGACTTTAGTGGAAAAAGAGAGTTGTTAGTCATTTCTCAAACTAAAGTCAAAAGAGGAAATGTGTAGGGTCTCAGTTAATGAGTGGAAGAGTGGATTATCAAACTAGAAAAGAGCATTTCCCAAAGAAGAAATGTTAAACCAAACAATTTGTTGCCATTGAAGCATAGCGCTGCTATAGCGGGTGAGTTAGCAACCAGCCAGCAATGGAGTAGCTAGCTAACATGGGACCCCTCCAACACCAAGGGTATTTCACACATTGTATAAGGATACACCCCTCAGTCTTGTAGTGTGTATAATTAGAGCTCTGTAGAATCAAGACATTTTTAATACATAAAATTCTGAAAACCAGATTAAATCTTGACCTCAGAATCAAAAATTGCATTGAAATGAAGTGTGTGTACTGTTACACCTTTATTTAATAGACAAGTGAACCAGTCTTATGAGTATAGAATGTTCAGATCAACAGTAAAGCGCTACCTGAATCATGATCATTCACACCCAAGACATTCTCAGTTCTCCATCAGCACCTTCTGGTAGAAATTCATGTTGCCACTGAGGCATTCCACTTGTGCATCTGTCATCTGTGCCTCATTTGTGATTGTGATGGAGATTTTATGAGAGTGTTTGCAGTGTATGCATGGCTGCATGTTCCACATTTACCTCTTAAAATTTCTGATTGTGAAAATAAAATTGGAAAGTGAACCTTTGACTATGCTGTCAACAGGCATCCTGTGTGTTGCTGATCAGTGCCATGGCTTGAGGGAACTGGCACTGAATTACCACCTGTTGAGTGACGAGCTCCTCCTTGCACTCTCCTCAGAGAAGCATGTGCACCTAGAGCACCTACGCATTGATGTGGTGAGTGAAAACCCTGGTCAACAGTTCCATACCATCAAGAAAAGCAGCTGGGATGCCATGGTCCGCCACTCCCCAAAGTTCAACTTGGTCATGTACTTCTTCCTCTATGAAGAAGAATTTGGCCCTTTCTTTCGTGATGAAATTCCTGTCACGCACCTTTATTTTGGCCGTTCAGTCAGTAAGGATGTGCTTGGCCGCGTAGGCATGAACTGTCCTCGACTTGTGGAGCTGGTGGTCTGTGCTAACGGTCTGCGCCCGCTGGATGAGGAGCTGATCCGCATTGCCGAACGCTGTAAGCAGCTGTCTGCCATTGGCTTGGGGGAGTGTGAAGTGTCTTGCAGTGCATTTGTGGAGTTTGTGAAGATGTGTGGCCGACGCCTCTCACAGCTCTCCATTATGGAGGAGGTGCTCATCCCTGACCACAAGTATAGCCTGGACGAGATCCACTGGGAGGTGTCCAAACACCTTGGTCGTGTCTGGTTCCCTGATATGATGCCTACGTGGTAAAACACTAGCAGACCAGTTCCCTTCTCACATTAGTACATTCATAACGAGTACACCCAGCTTATCACTTCACCCTATAAGGCAGTCAGTTTCGACACTGACTTGATATGTTTCTATATGTTTTCTCTTCAAGAAGTATCATGGAGATTCTCATTGTGTTTGAGATATTGCTTTTCTTTACATGTGTAATAGCATCAGGGGTTTTAGGTGGAAAATCTTTACAGGATCAGACACTTTGAATAGCGTGGCTTGTTTTCTGAAAAGACTGATGCCATATGTTGTGTACATAGTGAAAAGTATGAATATGAAAGAAATAAGCTTGTGTCCAGCACATAATGGTAATACTACAGTGTAGTAAGCTTTTATATTCTAATTGGATCACATAGGAGAACATAAAAAGGCCTGCATAATTGTACCATGTTAGGCTGATCATTAATGTAGCTACATATTCCAAATGTCCACATGTTCAGTAATTTTTCTGGAACCTACATATAGGATTTCTAATTTACATCTAATTAATCCTCATAAATCAGTGGTCACTAACTCACATTTTTTTTATTCTTGGCTGTTTGTCAAATTATATTTATGTATATTGTTACTAATGTGGTGGAGAGTGAAGTATTGTCAGTAATAGTGGAGGACTCATGGCAAAAGTCTTATTCGTTGATGGAGCACCTTGAAAGCTGCCAGAGTTTGTCCACCAGTAGGGAGTGCAACTAAGAAACTGTCAGCTCCCAGCTAAACGTTTTTCAAAAGCTCTGCTGAAGACTCGCTGCTTTCTTGACACAGAATAATTGGGAATTTGACAAAGTACAACATCTTCAGAACATTTTTCCACTCGGTTGCACCTTCTGTCTTGGAACAAAAACTGCTTTGCAGCTTTAGTGGACTGTCTTATCTTCTTCTTTGCCCATTGTTTTTGTTTGTTTCTCAAGTATGTTACAGTAATCTTAACTTACTCCATCAGCTAAAGGGGAAGTTCTTGGTTGAAAAGGTGACCACCAAAAGCAGACTAAATGGAAATGAATGGCTGTTTTCTCATTGCACCACAATTAGTGCTAAAATATATGGTAGCAAGCTGTATTGGAGTCCCTGTGACAAAGACAAACCAATTGTGTTAGGATTTGAGGACTAAATGGGGAGAAAACAGAAATAAGAAAAAAAAATCATTTTTTACTTTCAGGCTTACAGATAGGTCCAAGATAAATGGAAAGCCTTTACTGCACATTGAATTCAGTACTACCTATGAGTCTGTTGACTGCTTTTAATTTTATATACGACAATAATTTTTTTACCCTAATTCAAACAGATTTCTTCCTGCTAGGACAATGACTTTTGGTTAAGCTGTTGTGTATTTGTATAAATCGTTTTGTACAGTTAATATAAAGCACCTTAAATGCATACCAAATTAATCACAAACATGAGCGAACATGTGGAGAAGGATTTTTTATCTCTTGATGGTTATTTTGTAAGTTAGCAATTACTTCTATTTTTAAAGCAGCAGAATGTGTGGGGTATAGTTTTTACCTACATGTAGTTCATTGATACAGAGAAGTTGGGACTGCATGACACAATCAGTTCAAATAACCTGAGAGAGTAAAGTTTTAAGATGAAGGTCTGCTGTTCTGGAAATTATTTGGAAATGTCTAAATGGATTTGTGGCATGTTTTGGAGTGTGATCTGGTAGATATGGCTTTGCGAAACATAAACAAAGTTTGATGTAATTTAATCATTTTTTACATCTTCGACCATTTTCTAGTTCTATCCTAGGTTGAATGATCAGAACATGCATTATGAAAAATGAATCAGGACCTGATTGCACCCTGTTTATCATTCAGTTGAAGAAGTCACTGGAGTGAAGTGCTTAATTTTTTTTCTTTAAGAAGGAAGTCCCCTATGCCTGTATATAAAATGCTGCCTGTGTGATAATGAATAGAAATATACGTATTTCTTTTTCTTTTCTCCTCTGTCAGGGTTGGAATTTGCAATGATGATCTTTCATTAGAGCGAGCATGGTCCTTTGGTAGATCTTCTACCACTAATTAATTTGGTTATTCATATAATTTATTAATAAGCCTTTGTATTAACTCATTTAAAATGGTTTAATGATTTCTGAGCTGTTCTGAGTCCTTTCAGTATGTTAACACTGCTGTAATTTCCCATCAAAAAACTAATGTTAGCACAACTAATTCAGTAACACTTAAAATCAGACACAAAAAATATGCTTGTTTAGCTTTTTATTGGAGTGACAAGTGAAAATCAAGTTTGTTGGTGAGCAGTGCTTTACCCAAAATGCAAGAAAATGAGTCACTCATTTGTACATACTGATTTACAAGAGTGAAATGTCTATAATGGTTTTGTCTATATGAAAGGTTTATGACTCATAGCCAGCGTTTTCAACTGACAATAGTGTTCTTTTCTCAAAATGAATACCTAAGTACTGTTTTGGGGGAAAAAACTTGATGTGTGAGCATCAGCTTGTTGTTTTCAACATACTCACTTGCTTCTCATTTTGCATTGTTCCAATAAATTACATAAAATTCCAGTTGTGCAGACTGTGATTACTTTACAATTCATTAAAACAGAAGAAACACTTAGTATATGGCTGTAGTTATACATTAATCAAGCATTTCAGATGATGTCATATATCACTTGAATGTTACTCCAACCAAAATGTAATCTGGAGTTAGTGATAGATTAGTTAGCTATTCACAGTTAACAAGTGGTAGTTCCACAGCACAAATTTGCTCCCTTTGAGGAAGAAGAGGAAGTGCTTAACTGTCATCTGACATTGGTATTAAAAAAAGAGGAGATGGCTTCAGTGTGGTAAAGGAACTTCCTCATAAGTAATCTGAATGTAAGGTGCCTTCATTGGCAGGTGCCAGTATTCAAAGTTATAGTACAAATAGAATGTCTTTTCCAATACTACCTTTTTATAGACTTCAATCAGGCTGAGGATGAACTGAATCATTGACTGGTGAGGTTGGAAAGAGTGGTAAAACTTTTTGATGTCTGTGGCCAGAGTTTTCATAGACGACTGACCGAAGATAGTGTCATCATCCCCAAGGTAGGTAGGCTCTCCACTGTACAGGTATATTTTGGTGTAGTTGGTCTGAGTTTTGCTCGAGAGCTTGGCTCCTAGCTCTGCCATTTTCCTGTATGTGCGGTGTACAAACTGTGAACAATCATATGACTCAAACCATGTTGTGGAGTTGGCCCCTGGGTCTGACCGCACTGTCCATGTCTCGTAATAAATCCCAGTTTCATTGTCCTCTTGAACCCATCGTGCCAAATCGTTAAACTGCTCACCTAAAAGAGAAAAAAAAAAAAAGACTGCTGATTAGAATGTGAATTCTAACATTATAAGCCCTCAAAGCCCTCTGTATGCAATATGGTACCTGAAATTTCTCCCACTTTTTCCACAGTTCCATTTTGTTGCCAATGCAGGTCATCTATCCCCTCGAAGAAGCAGGCTGCGCCCTGATTACACCAAAAAGGAGCTGCCGTGTCCTCTCTTTCATGGGGAAAAGTGCAGTTTCCAAGCTGGAAAAGTTCATACCATTCCATAGTGTAATTTCTTCCAGTCTCTGAGCTGGCAAACCCAATGGCATCATGCATTATATGCTGAAACGAGAACAAACTCTCAGTGCTGGGCAGTATATCATACATTCAGACACATTGTGATACTGACACACTGTGATCTAGCTTTTTAATTCTATTTAGTGCATTTTTTCATGGTATCCAGGATCTGACAGTTAGCCTTAACACGTCATTTACTGTTTGTTTTAAAAGAACTGTTGGAAATATTTATAAAAAAAAATAAAAATATAGTAGCTTCCTTTCTAGAAATGTGATTCTCTTTAGTTATGATACAGAATACTCTGAAGGTTTCCTTTGGTGTAATTTTAGTAGAAGCAAAACAGTCCAATCAAAACAAACTTGGATTTGTAAGATATTCTTTTTAGCATAGTGCTGAGAAGTAACTGTCTATTTAAATTACAGGAATGCTGACTTATTAACTTTATTAATGCTAATTTAATATAATCTTTTACAATGATGCAGTGATTAATTGGGAAATAATATGTACATTGTGAAAATGAATTTTCCATATCGCCTAAAACTAAAACCCTGTCCTAATTAATGCAATTGAGTTTTTAGGGAAAGTATATTCCATTATGTATGGAAGCCCATTCCCAGCACCTAATGTTTTTTCACATTCTTAAATGAAATGCCATAATTTTGTGATAGCTTCTCAGAATAATGAGATAATATCTGAAAACGAAGGCATAGCAATTCACTTAAGAATGAATCACTAACTAGGTGCTGGATTTTTATTTTTAGCGGCAGGAATGGGCTTCCATAATTCTGAACTTACAAATTTGCCCAGAAGATCTCCGTATTTGAATTCCCACACCGGGGTTTGCAGTCGAAACACCGAAATCACATCAGAGTCTCTCATATAGGGAATACGGCCATCCGGGTCTCCGGTAGGACAGAAGGTGTACAATGCTTGGCAGTAGGGGTCAGGGTCTGGACGGCGGTCAAATCGCCTGTAAATTCGCCAACAGAGAAACAAAAGAATGTGAGTCAGGCCTGTAATTTGATACAGAGAAGTTGTGCTTGTTCAGCAAAACAGCATGGTGGAAAAGCTGAATGGTGCTAGTCACTATAACGACTGTCAGCTGAAGAGCTGTTGACTAAAAAGTAAATAAGGAACAACACGCCACTGCTGCGGTTCATACGTCTAATAGCCACTAACGGCCATGTTTGCTTCATCGTCTCCCCCCACCTTAAAAGCAGCAGCAGCAGCAGAAGAAGCTGCTCTGCTAAATAAACACACTGAAGTTTGTACAGCTCGAGCGGACAGACAGACGATTCACACTGCGCTCTTACCTGTAAGGGACAGGCCAAACTTGCTTTCCATTAATATTCCGAGAACTGATCAAAGCAAGAAAGCAAACCTGGAAGACCGAATAAACAATAAACACTGGTCGTTTCATACTGGAATCAGGGAAGAGAAAGTTTCCTCCACTCTCGTCATCTCTCTCTTCACAGCTGTGCATTCGCTTCCTTGTTTCGCTGAACGCCTGCGATCACGTGGTCACATAAAATCTAATCAACAAGTGTGTCAAGATTTTAACCCATCAAGCCCCGCCCCCAGCGTTACGATTGGCTAGCAGTTTGTTCTTGTACTGTCATTCGTTGGACTGCTAATAGTATTCATTTTCTGGCCAATCCTAGCACACGAAGCGGGGTTTGTCGGAAAACGGGCGGGAAGAAATAACAATCACGAGGATAGTTTTTTAGACAGCCGCTTTAACGTGTAAGTTAAATATGAAGACAAAACATAATATAATGACTAAAAAATGACTATAATTTTACCAACAACACCAAGAAAAAGTAACTTCATCACAAAATGAATCTGCGCAGACATTTAAAGTCTCACATCTGCTGTCTAACAGGAAGAGAGAGCGAAACTGCGGTAGCAGAAGGTTCAGAAAAATCCCACTTGGGGCATCTGAATACGTGGAATGAAAGGGAAAAACTTCACTGAAATAGAAATTATTATAATTTTTATAATCTTAAATTGGCTCTTCTGCTATCATACCTGGTTTCTGCGCATGTCTGTTTCAGTTCGTGCCCGGGCGTTGTCATGGTACCAACAGACGCATTTGCCACGCTCCTCGACCGGTGCTGTTTCTTTACGTTTCTTTACACGCTGTGTGTCTTTCTGTTAACTGAGGATAAATAATGTCAGATGTTGGATCGGAGGATTTTGAAGATGAGCAGGGTTATCTTGGAGTAAGTTTGTCACTTACTGAAGGTGTTTTGTTAAGACTGGCTGTGGATCTGACTGCAGTTGCTGTGTTTCAGGAGTATGAGGGTGAGCGGAATGAAGCCGGAGAGAGACACGGGCTCGGCAGAGCAGTGCTGGTCAACGGAGACTCCTATCAAGGAATGTATGAACGTGGGAAACGATCTGGTCAGGTATTTCAATTTAACGCACAAAACACACAAATCTGCAAAGCGTTTCTCTGTGAAACTATGTAAAAGTGAACTCAGATTAAGGCCTAAAATGAGCCCAGGCCTGCCCTCATGGTCATATTTAAGCCCAGATGATAGCAGTTTCTTTCATGGGTGAAATGTTGTGGACCTCAGACTATTACTGGCTAAAAATTAGAGAGTTCAAGAAACACGTTTGGCCGTTTTGTTTAGAAAATAATAAAGTGGCTTGGACAAAAAATGCTGATTTGCACATTATTTGTCTTTGTAACGGATACCTGTTTCTAAATCCTTGTTGGAAATGTTAGTTAGATTGCTGCTCCTTTCCACAGAGTCTATTCTAGTTTGGTTGATTTTTTTCCCTACAAAACTGAAAAACTTGAACTTTGTTTGTCCGTATTCCGCTATCAAGTGCTAACAAAGGTATATGTCATCTAAGAAATTAAACCAAAGTTAGATCTACCTTAAAGTATGACTTTGTTTTCTGACACCAAAACTGTTTGTAAAGCAGTAAATGTGCATTTGTCAGATGTCAGACTGGCATTCAGTTTTACATTGCATTTTTGTTCTTTATAATCCCTTTGTATATGATTTATACATGGTTCATTTTAATGTTAGATATCTATTGGTTTTCAGGGAACATACAGATTCAAGAATGGGGCTCGATACATAGGGGAATATTACATGAACCTGAAGCATGGACAAGGTGTTTTTTACTACCCGGATGGCTCCAAGTATGAAGGTGGGGTTTAAAAAAAAATAAATAAATAAATAAAAAAAAATATATATATATATATATATATATATATATATATATATATATATATATATATATATATCCCCCCCAGAATATGGGAATATGACACCAGAACAACACACTTATCTGTTCCTCTTAATTCATTCTCTCTGTTAGGCTCCTGGGTGGATGACCAGCGGCAGGGTCATGGCATTTACACATATCCCAATGGAGACACATACGATGGAGAGTGGCTGCAACATCAAAGGTGCAGCAGACACCGATGGCAGCTACTGACATTTATAATGTAGTTGAGGCAAATCATTAGATTATACATATTACTCAATGTCTTGTCACTTTTAGTTGCTTAAGCCAGTCTGGTCTGGTAAAACTAGTCCTAAATACATACAGTGAGGGGAAACAAATATTCAGACACAAATATGACCATAGCAAAAATACAAAAATAAGTATTCAAAAGCATAAACAAAGATATTTAGAAAAAAAAAACAAATTGATAGGAAAAATGTATTCAGACACCACAAATTAATAACGTGAGTACTTTGTTGCAAAGCTGTTATTGGCCATCATAGCTTCAAGATGTCTACAGCAGGAATTAAGTTGGTTCAGTTTTGTACTGTTCTTGTTGGCAGGCCTCTTTAATTCCCCAAGGTTATGATGTTCCCCTTGTTATACTCGCAATCTCAAAATCCTTCATAAAATTTCAAAGGGAAAAATTTAAGTCAGGAGATTGTCCAGGCCATGCAAGCGCCTTCACCTTTTTTAGACACTTGTCTTGAGTTATTTTGGCTGTATGTTGAGGGTTGTTGTCTTGTTGAAACATGTCCTCCACCTTTCTTGGCCAATGAGATTAAATTCTACTCTATTATGTCCCGGTACATCGCCACATACATGTTTGCTTTGATGACGTGTAATGCCCCAGTACTGTTTGCACATAAGCAGCCCAGTATCGTGATGCTCCCACCTCCATACTTCACTGTGCATATGGTGTTCTTGAGATTCAGATGTACAACCCTTCTTTCTCCAAACATAGCAAGCTGAATTATTGCAGAAGAGTTCCATTGTTGTTTCCTCAGAGCAGAGTACATTGTTGAGTCCTGATTTGTGAGAATGCTCATGTGCAAATTGTAGATATGCATCTCTGTGCTTCTTTTTTTGCAGATGAGTATTAGAAGATGTAGGAACAGGGAAGACTGTGGTGCAGTTCATTACTTTTTGTTTTCTGTGTAACTGTTGTTCTTCTCTCATACATTCCTTAGACTCCTTAGTCATACAATCATTAGTCTCAGAAAAATCTTGCGTGATTGACCTGTCTGGGGATGATTGGTTATGGTTACATGAACTTTCCAATTGCATATTATCAAACTAATCGTACTGACAGGTATGTTTAAGGTCTTTGCTATGGCTCTGTTACATTTCCATCCAAATCTTCTTTAATAATGTTGTCCCTGAGAGCTTTAGAAAGCTGCTTCACCTTCACCATGATCGCTTACTTACTTGCTTGCAATCTTTCCAAACAATAGCAACTTTGTTTTTATTTTGACTATTTATATTGAATTTGCACAAGAACATTTTTATTTTTGCAGCATTAATATGTATAACTCAGTTTACACTTATTTTTTGCCTACCATTTTCATTTTTTTTAAACCTATCTATGTTTATGCTTATGAATACATACCTTTATTGTTCATATTTATTAGTACAAAAGATTTTAAGTGTGTAAATTGTAAGGAGATATATGGGCTGGAAGTCTACTAAATAACACAAATAAAAGTGTCTGATTACGTTTTCCCCTCACTGTAGTCTTTTCTGAATGTAGCATGTATTTTGTGCAAATAAGGCCTGCTTGCTGAGTTGTTTTAACAGCTGCCTTTTTTAAAGTCTGTCTGTCTGCCTCACAGGCATGGGCAAGGTGTATACACGTACCTTGATACAGGCTCTAAGTACGTTGGCACGTGGGCTATGGGTAAAATGGAGTCTGCTGGAGAGCTTATCCATCTAAACCACAGATATCAGGGCAACTTTCTGAATAACAAAGTGAGTCTCACTTCTTTTCCCTCTTTATTCCCTTTTCTTGAAATGTGTTCTGTTTCCTCATTATCAAGTGTTTCTCCAGCCCACAGGTCCAGGGAAATATGTGTTTGACATTGGCTGTGAGCAGCATGGGGAGTATGTGCAGGAGGATCAGGTCTGTTTCTGACTAAATGCATATGAACTGTATCAAAAAGTTTCTTAGTAAATTTATATAGTTTCAAGTCAACCAGCTTTCTTTCTTTGTTGTATTATACTGAATAAAATATGGCATTGTTAATATTCTGTATGAAGCCACACAAATTAAAGACGTAAGTGACCTGTAATGTAAAATATGATGTGTTGAAGACATGCTTGATAAATGTTCTGATTAAAGTGATTTCCCCCTGCTGAAACTCCAGCCAGCACTAGATGAGGAGACGGTTAAGGATGGGAAGGCCTTGAAGTTGCGTTCCCCACATGCTCCTCAGGGCGAGCGCTTTATCTCCATTGCAGCCTTTGGCGACGAGGTTCTATGCGAGCAGCCTGCTGTGCCTCTCTGTTATAGTGTAGTTTGACTTGGCCTTTGTGCATGCTAACAGAGGCTCATGAAAGTAGATCTACCTGACCCTGTGCTTAATTGTCTCGTTGGCCTTAGAGAACCCTTTTAGTTGAAGGTGGACACTGGAGTTTCAAATGTTTTAAAGCTTGATGTGGGTTTTTTTATTTGTTTTACGATCAAATAATTAGTGAGCTTGATAAAAAAACAAAAACAAACAAAAAACACATTTAAGCCTTTGAAAACATATATGCAATTTCCAGAAAGCTGAAGAAACAGTGTGAGTGTAATTAGTAGAAAAAGTGTATGTTTTCATTAGATACTGTTTCTGACTGAGTCTTTGGATTACAGGATAAAGGAGATGCAGAGGAAGAGGAGCCTGTCACTACCACCGTTCTGAAATGGAAACCCAGTGCTGTGACTGGCCTTTCACACTGGGCTGCTGCTAAGGACAGTCCCTCTTCTGGTACATCCATACCATATGAATATGTGCAGCTTTGTTGAGGCAGTTATGCTTCGTTGTAGTCTTACATGTAGCTTTCGTAATAACTGTGGATATATTTGTGTCTTACTTCACACTGTTACTTACTTATTGTGGCCTAGTCAACATTTGGAGGCTTCTGTAATGGTCAGACGTGACTGTTGATTGTCAAAAACTTAAAATTAAAATTACAATTTTCTCCATTATCCCAAATATAGTCAGCCGAGATATATTTTTGGCGTTAGCCATGTCCATCTTTAGTTTTGTTCTGGAACTAATAGGCTACCA